CGTCCTATGTGTAACGGGGCACCCTGAAGCTTGTACTGGTGACAGTACAAGCTACTTATTCTGATGACAGAATGAGGTGGTGCCGCGTAACTTCACGTACACTGGTACGTGCAGAGGAAGATGGTAAGGAGAAGTGAGCACTTGACTAAAGTAATAAGTAGAACTGTATTTAGTATAGCTAATGTCTGTTAATAAACCGCTATTTATCCTCATCTAACTATGTCTAAATACAAATGTGTAAATCAATTATCTGCTCACCACTCATTGCGTGCGTCTGTCGTGGCGCGTCTTCGTTGGTTGATTCAATGGCCTATATCAACCAATTAGGAACTACTCGTAAGTGCAACAGAATTTTTGTCCTTATGACAATATTCTGAGAATATAACTCTTGTAGTTATATTCTATTAACAATTTCTTATAAATTGTTATGTAACGATTCACCCCGTTATATCACCCCCCCCCTTAACCACCAGTCACTTTAGTGACTGATTGACTAAATGGATACTCGTCCCAATCATTTGGGACGGGGTTTGCACTTGCTGGTCCGAGTCCACTTTCCAACAGTTCATCGCAAGGTTAACAAGTCCATGCGGTGCGCGAACAAGGCCGCCGAGAGCGCGTCCGCACGTCTCTGTGCGGAGGCCGAAGCGGAAACAGCAGCAACTGATGTCTCATCGGTTGCTGAAGCGACTCAGCCTGTGTCACCTGGTGATGCAGGCGCTGGTCATGAAGACACTCATGTCTTCACAGAGTATGAGCTCGGTGTCTCATACTCTCCTGACACGGAAGACGGATCCGTATCGACGGCGATTGAATCCAAGCCGCCTGCCAAGCGTGGCATGGATGATGCTATGCGTCGCAGCATCTTTGGTTCATCTGATGAATCAGATGAACCATCGCCGAAGCGAAGGCGCTCGAGATCGCAAGACTCGGGCGCTCACAGTGGTGTTGGTTCTCCTATTGACACCACTTCGCAAGAAGAGCGGGACCGCAGCGTGTTGCGTCTCGCTCCCGAAAAGAAGGCACGGCTGCCTCCAAAGTCAGTCATGGATCACTTGTCGACGACGACAAGTGATCGCTATCGAGTACGATTATTCGATTCGTCAAGGATCCATCACCTTGACCCCAGTACAAAAAACCGTCGCACTGAACGTCAGTTCTTCATCTAATTTTTCCTTGAGCATCGATGGTTCAGTGGGAATCACAAACGTGATAGTCCCTCACTGCTTCAATGGTGGAACGCTTACATCTATAACCTTGAGGATGTTGGTCGTGACGTTTTGAACGAAAAACTTATCAAAGCTCGTGATAAGTTTGAAAAGCGAACCCCGACAGGTGCACGCTATCATCTGCATCGTCTGTCAGGGGAGAATGGGTTACCCTGCTTCTCCTGGGGAGACTCGTTCCCATGTTGTGTGAACAACTCTGCGCGCGCACCTAAGGAGGCCTACCTCCTTAATAGCCCGTGGTGGCGCGTACGTATCTCTACTGAGATGTACGAAGGGATTGACAACCTGAAATCCCTTTACGACCGTGCCGGGAAGACTTTCTCCGGCGATCCTTCTGCAACACAGGATGTGCCGCGTCGTACTGCTCGACCAGACCCAGTACGTCGATCATCAGTTGGGAGCAGGGCTCCCAAGAATCCAAGGACGAGGGATAGCCGCGCCACCGGACGAGATAACTCGTCTGACGTCCGTTCACGTCGCGGTGGTTCAACAGCTGCTCAACCAGATAGCGCTGGCCACCGCGAGAGTCCTCCAATGGAGGTGGAGGAGGAGGAAAGACGCTGTCCAAACTATCGTGTGGGAGCGTGTGTCCCCGAGAGCCTCTTTGATCGCGTAACTCTTGCGTTACGCGACGACCTCGAGCATGGGCGGGACAGGCGTCTTCAACTGGCGGACACTGTCTTGAAGCACCGAGCTGAGTTTGCTTTTGCTCAGCTTGAGAACGAGAGATATCCGACATCTCTGCCTAACGAGCTAAGGGTAGCTCGTGTGGATGTTGACCGGTCTCGGGATGAGATAGCTGCTCTCCAGACCCTTGTTGATGCCCACCATCGGGAGCATAAGGCTCTCCGCGAGATGCTTGAGCGCAAGGGCGTTCTTCATCGGAAGAAGCAGCGGACTGATGGTACGGCTTAAGCCGACCAACGTAAACGTGGGATGCGTTCGCATCTTACGTGGCAGTTCGATCGTGTATGCGTTGCATAGGCAATGCAATACACGAAATGGGCCGATGTACTTGGGTGGTAGTTTACTACTACCCACGTTAGTCACAAAATGCTTTGGTAGGTTAACGTAGAGGACTAAGTCACCTATATTAAATGTAAGAGTGTTTGCCCTTCCATTCTTGTCTGCGTTTTGCTTTTGCTTATCCACCGCTTCGGCGATGGAGTCTTGCACAAAACGGACTACCGTTTCACGAGCCAGTATGAACTCATCTGATGACTCGTTAGCTTCAGTGCGCTGTGAGCGCACTGCAGCAACATCAATCTTTTCTTCAGTGAGGGCTTCCTCGCTCTCACTGGCATCATCTTCTTCGATATCGATGTTATCGATATCGGCATCAAACGCAATGACCTCATCTTCAGAGCGTGATGAGCGTGAACCAGCTAGTGTGTGCTAGCTTCAGTGCGCTGTGAGTGCACTGCAGCAACATCAATCTTTTCTTCAGTGAGGGCTTCCTCGCTCTCACTGGCACCATCTTCTTCGATTTCGATGTTGTCGATATCGGCATCAAACGCAATGACCTCTTCGTCAGAGCGTGATGAGCGTGAACCAAATCGGTTTTTGCTCGCGCGAGTCCCTCCCCCTTAAACCAGAGTTACACTCTAGTAAGGTGGGTACACGCGGATGGCGCAAGCCATTCACGTAAAACGGTGTACGTGTCGTGGACGCATGTACCGAGTTGTTAATGGCAAACTCTACCATTGGCAGAAACTCACTCCAACTCTTAAAGGAGTGTACGTATCCTCGAAGTATCTCTTCAAGGACACGATTGGCTCGTTCCATATGACCATCTGACTCTGGATGATCAGATGTTGACATCTTCAAGCGCGTTCCGAGTAATTTGAACACGGAGCGCCAGAAATCAGCAGTGAATCGTGGATCTCTGTCTGATACGAGTTCACGGGGTAACCCATGAAGTCGGAAGATGGTGTCAATAAAGACACAAGCACAGCCACTTGCCGTGATTGTCTCTGGTACAGCCACAAGGTGTACCATTTTGCTGAATCTGTCAACAAATACGAGAATACCCGTATTCCCGCGTGCCTCTTTGGGTAACCCGAAGACGAAATCCATTGAGATGGATTCCCAGCACTCTGCCGGAACCGGTAGAGGCTGTAAAAGTGCACGCAGTGGAGGACTTAACTTCACTCGTTGACAGACTTCGCATGCGCGAACATACTTTCGCACAAACTGATACTGGCGGGGCCAGTAAAAGTCTCGACTCACCGTGAGACATGTTTTCTCTAGGCCACGATGTCCTCCTATAGGAGCATCGTGATACTCGAACATGATCCGCAAACGCAGATCAGTATCATCTGGAATGACAACACGTGATGTGTCACCAGAAACGGCTGTATAATACAATAAACCGTTACGAGTAGTGTATCGATCTGATGCAGATCGATACGCAGGCAACAATCGTTTCAACGATTCTCGAGATGGCTGTGAGAGATGTTTCAACAACTTCACAATTTCACCATCTTGGGCGTATGCCCGCCTCACATCATCATACAACGTTGTAGATGGTACTGAGGACGTCATAACCGCAACAGTGACTGTCTCACTGTTGGGTTTCACGACTGGTTCAAAGTCGGGACGACGTGAAAGTGCATCAGCGACGACATTAATTCGTCCTGGTTTGTACTTGACCGTAAAGTTGTGATCTGCAAAGAATGACAACCACCGCGCCATTCGTTGTGAAAGGTGCGGGCTGTTCACTGCCGTGCGTAATGACGCATGGTCAGTGTAAACAACGAAGGGTCTATCTCCTAATAGATAGACTCTGAACTTCGCGAGTGCATACTTCATGGCAAAGAGTTCCTTGTCATGCACTGGATAGTTCCGATCAGCTGGTTGCAGCTGACGCGACTGATAGCAGACGACGCGTTCAACGCCTTCTAGGTCGTACTGCATTAATGCACAACCGATTGCGAAATCGCTGGCATCACAGACCACATGAAATGGCCTGTCCTGATCGACTATTGCTAGGACTGGGGATTGTATCAAGCTCTACTTGATACCATCAAAGGAGCGCTGACATTCAGCGTTCCATACCCACCTCTCGTTCTTTTTCAAAAAACGAGAGAGGTGCACAGTCATCTCGGCGTAATTGCGTGAATACTTATGCAAATACGTCGCTAGCCCAAGAAACTTTCGAAGACCTTTGACATCAACCGGCACAGGCCATTCGGTGATCGCCTTGATCTTTTCGGGATCAGGACGTACACCGCTCTTACCAACGATGCACCCAAGAAGTGGTATTTCGCTTGCTGCAAATATACACTTCTTGAGGTTTGCATTCAATTGATGCTTTCGCATGATTGTAAGAACCTGTCGGACGTGGTACCTGTGAACCTCAACGTCCGACTTTCCATCCATAGCTCGACTATGGATGAATACGTCATCGAAATAACTCGGCGCGAGTTCTCGTACTGGTCTCGACAGATGTGATACACATCTGTTGAACGTGACAGGGGCATTACTAAGCTCTTATGGTATTTCTAGACATTCCCAGAGCATGCCGCTAGGCGTGCTCACTGCGGTATAGGGTATATCCCGTTCTCGCATAAGGATTTGATAGAAGCCATCCATCAAATCCATGGACGAAAAGATGGTACTATTTGACATACCATCAATGATTACGTCCTTCCTCGGTATAGGCGTCTGAGCCGGTACCGTTGCAGCGTTCAATTTGTTGAACGCGTGCACTATCCGCCACCCTCCTGTTGCTTTTCGCACACAGAAGGTCGGAGAGCTATGTGGGAAAGTTTATTCCCTCACATGGCCCGCAGCTGAACGATCGGCAAAGAACTTGTAGATCGCAAGCACTTGTTCACGAAGCAGTGGCCACTGCTTCATGACACAGTACTTCGAGCCTGGTTTAAGCTCGACCTCGTGTCGAATACCTTTATCCTTCGGTAATTCGCACGGAACAGTTTCAGGGAATACATCCTTGAATTCAACCAAATCTTCATAGAGAGGATTTTTCTTGAGCGATTCCCACGATTGGGAGTCATATCGCTCAATTCGTGTCTTTTCATCTAGGACACTCTCGTCCATAGATGAACTACTGAGAACTCTTTCGTTCTCAGTAAACACTGTTGCTGACCTTATGTCGGTTACACACTCGTCGTCAGCGACGAGTACGCAGATCTGCTTGACTTTGCCACTACGCAGATCACGCAAGAACCTTTTATGCTCGAGCGTTGGCAACTGAGTGATCTCCGAAGTCAACTTCGGAGGCGCAATCAGATCAAGTGTATAAGCGCCTACACTTGATCCGTTATTGACGATGACATTCAATGTCTCTGTCACTTCCTGGTGACTTATTCCCTCAGGCCTCAAAGGACTTATTCCTTCGGCTTCCCGGGGACTTATTCCCGCGGGTTTCGGGGAACTTATTTCCGCCGTATTTGTAATCTTGAGACTTATTCCCTTTACTTCCTCTAGCTGGGGTTGCGCAACCACAGCGAGATCCTCTACGAAAGACTCTCCAGTCGATCTAGGATTATCGTTTCGCTTAACCTGAGCAATCGATGTTTCTCTTCTAGATGTTTCCCGCGAGGGATACATCTTTGTCCCAGTCCACCCGACTTATTCGAGTGGTGGACCTTCGGCGCACCTGTGTTTCCTCACAGCCGCCAGAATCTTGCTCCGAAGTGTAACTGTTTGTTACACTAAGATTTTGTGCAGTCGTACTAACGACCGTACCACAAGTGAGGCCATCGCACTCACTCGTAGTACATCCACACGCTTGTGGACGCTCCAAAACGTTCTTCAGATGGCCATCTGATGAACAAGCAGCTGGCATCGTTACTGTTCGATGTTGCCAGTTTACCCGTGGTTCGTACATTCTGAGCCACGGTATTCCAAGGATGACATCAAATTTGTCATCCAAATCCAATACGATGAAGTCATCGTCATATTGGGTATCTTCTAGCGTATAGTGGATCTTCACTATACGCTTCATGACGGTTACGGATGCGCCTGTCGCAAGACGTACCGTCATCCTCGTAGGAGGTGTGTCACATTCACTGAACTTAAAGTGACCATCTTCTAGCGATTGGCGTCGCACAAAATTGTTGGACGCCCCACAATCGACTAGAGCTCGAAGGGACAACTTATTCGTCACTTCGAGTTTCAAGGTAATGAGTGAGACCTCATTACCTAGAGCAGCAACGCACAATGTCTGTGTGTTGGGAGCAACCTTCATCAAGAGGCCTACAAGTTCTCTTGACGTAGCTGGACCAGTAGGGTGCTCCGCACCTACTGATCCTGTCCGTTTTTTGACGGTCCATCCCGTTGTTGCGTCTTTGCACCAACTGCGGACCCTCGTCCCTGCCCCTTTCTCATGGGTGGACGGTCACTACGCCCAGTGTTGCGATACACTGGACGAGGGGAACTACACTCGTAAGCGTATTGTCCTGTCTTTTGACATCTGTTGCATTTCTGCAACTTCTTGTAGTCTGTAGAGCGAGCCTTCTCGCTCTCTACATAACAGAGTTCCATCGGCTCTGGACCTCCGTTGTCATATCGTCTCGGTTGACGATATGATGTCGAGCTGGCGCGAGCCTGTCTCAGACTGAAGTCTTCCTGCTCCGCAATGGAAATGGCTTGTTCTAGTGAATCTAGTTCAAGTCGGAACAGGTGAGTCTTGACGTGACCATCCGCAAGACCCTGCTAGAACACCAAAACCAATGTGTGTTCATCAACCGGATTGGAACTTATACAACTCGTGAGGTGTCGTATATGTTGTGCGTAAGCGTACACATCACGCTTACCCTGCTTAAGCTTCAAGAGTTCGGTTCGAGCTCTGAAATCATCTCTAGGCGGTTCAAACGTTTTTCTGAGCCGCGACTTGAAGACTTCTAAAGACCCAAACGCATATGGGTCGTGCAACTTGGGCCCCAGTGCCCAAGTCTTGGCACGTCCTGCCAGATTTGACTGGGCAAATGCAACTTGCATATCCCCGTCGTCGATGCGACGCGCCCTTATGGCGTCATCTAATTCGACAAAGTATCTCTAGAGGGAGTCCTCTTCGACTCCCCTATACTTGGAGATGTCAATCTTCAAGGTTTCGGGTCGACGCGAATGCATCGACCCACCAGCAGCAGCCTGCTGCTGTCTCAACAGTTCAAACTGTTGAGCACCCTGTTCTCTCAACAACTCTGCTTGTTGAGAACCTTGTTGGTGTAGCAAGGCTACTTTCTCGCGTTCAGCGTCAAGTTCATTTTGAATGAACTTGGCGATAGTAGCACGTTGGGCATCTCGATTGAGAGCCTCTAGCATGACGCTAACAGCATGGATGCCCATGGTTGAACCCATCCGCTCAACCGCATCCCATTCGACATCGCTCAAATGGGAGTAGCCGTCACGCGTAGCGTGAAAGCTTTGGTCATCTTCATCATCCAACATATTCATGCTGGATGTGAACGCGGTCCTTGGACGGACTACGAAGTGCTACCAGGTGTAACGGGGCACCCTGAAGCTTGTACTGGTGACAGTACAAGCTACTTATTCTGATGACAGAATGAGGTGGTGCCGCGTAACTTCACGTACACTGGTACGTGCAGAGGAAGATGGTAAGGAGAAGTGAGCACTTGACTAAAGTAATAAGTAGAACTGTATTTAGTATAGCTAATGTCTGTTAATAAACCGCTATTTATCCTCATCTAACTATGTCTAAATACAAATGTGTAAATCAATTATCTGCTCACCACTCATTGCGTGCGTCTGTCGTGGCGCGTCTTCGTTGGTTGATTCAATGGCCTATATCAACCAATTAGGAACTACTCGTAAGTGCAACAGAATTTTTGTCCTTATGACAATATTCTGAGAATATAACTCTTATAGTTATATTCTATTAACAATTTCTTATAAATTGTTATGTAACGATTCACCCCGTTATATCACCCCCCCCTTAACCACCAGTCACTCTAGTGACTGATTGACTAAATGGATACTCGTCCCAATCATTTGGGACGAGGTTTGCACTTGCTGGTCCGAGTCCACTTTCCAACAGTTCATCGCAAGGTTAACAAGTCCATGCGGTGCGCGAACAAGGCCGCCGAGAGCGCGTCCGCACGTCTCTGTGCGGAGGCCGAAGCGGAAACAGCAGCAACTGATGTCTCATCGGTTGCTGAAGCGACTCAGCCTGTGTCACTTGGTGATGCAGGCGCTGGTCATGAAGACACGCATGTCTATACAGAGTATGAGCTCGGTGTCTCATACTCTCCTGACACGGAAGACGGATCCGTATCGACGGCGATTGAATCCAAGCCGCCTGCCAAGCGTGGCATGGATGATGCTATGCGTCGCAGCATCTTTGGTTCATCTGATGAATCAGATGAACCATCGCCGAAGCGAAGGCGCTCGAGATCGCAAGACTCGGGCGCTCACAGTGGTGTTGGTTCTCCTATTGACACCACTTCTCAAGAAGAGCGGGACCGCAGCGTGTTGCGTCTCGCTCCCGAAAAGAAGGCATGGATGCCTCCTAAATCCGTCATGGATCACTTGTCGGCGACGACGAGTGATCGATATCGAACACGATTGTTCGATTCGTCAAGGATCCATCACCTTGACCCCAGCGCGAAAAACTATCGCGCTGAACATGAATTCTTCATCGATGCTTTCTTTAGACGTCGATGGTACAGTGGGAATCACAAACGTTGGTCCCTCACTACTTCAGGCGTGGAACGCCTACATCCATAACCTCGAGGATGTAGGTCGTGACGCTTGGAACGACAAACTTATCAAAGCTCGTGATAAGTTTGAAAAGCGAACCCCGACAGTTGCACGCTACAAGCTGCATCGTCTGTCAGGGGAGAATGGGTTACCCTGCCTCTCTTGGGGAGACTCGTGCCCATGTTGTGTGAACAACTCTGCGCGCGCACCTAAGGAGGCTTACCTCCTTAATAGCCCGTGGTGGCGCGTACGTATCTCTACTGAGATGTACGAAGGGATTGACAACCTGAAATCCCTTTACGACCGTGCCGGGGAAGACTTTCTCCGGCGATCCTTCTGCAACACAGGATGTGCCGCGTCGTACTGCTCGACCAGACCCAGTACGTCGATCATCAGTTGGGAGCAGGGCTCCCAAGAATCCCAGGACGGGGGATAGCCGCGCCACCGGACGAGATAACTCGTCTGACGTCCGTTCACGTCGCGGTGGTTCAACAGCTGCTCAACCAGATAGCGCTGGCCACCGCGAGAGTCCTCCAATGGAGGTGGAGGAGGAGGAAAGACGCTGTCCAAACTATCGTGTGGGAGCGTGTGTCCCCGAGAGCCTCTTTGATCGCGTAACTCTTGCGCTACGCGACGATCTCGAACATGAGCGGAATAGGCGTCTTCAACTGGCGTAAACTGTCTTGAAGCATCGAGCTGAGTTTGCCTTTGCTCAGCTTGAGAACGAGAGATATCTGACATCTCTTCGTGACGAGCTAAGGGTAGCTCGTGGGATTGTTGATCGATCTCGGGATGAGATAGCTGCTCTTCAGACCCTTGTTGATGCCCACCATCGGGAGCACAAGGCTCTCCGCGAGATGCTTGAGCACAAGGGCGTTCTTCATCGGAAGAAGCAGCGGACTGATGGTACGGCTTAAGCCGACCAACGTAAACGTGGGATGCGTTCGCATCTTACGTGGCAGTTCGATCGTGTATGCATTGCATAGGCAATGCAATGCACGAAATGGGCCGATGTACTTGGGTGGTAGTTTACTACTACCCACGTTAGTCACAAAATGCTTTGGTAGGTTAACGTAGAGGACTAAGTCACCTATATTAAATGTAAGAGTGTTTGCCCTTCCATTCTTGTCTGCGTTTTGCTTTTGCTTATCCACCGCTTCGGCGATGGAGTCTTGCACAAAACGGACTACCGTTTCACGAGCCAGTATGAACTCATCTGATGACTCGTTAGCTTCAGTGCGCTGTGAGCGCACTGCAGCAACATCAATCTTTTCTTCAGTGAGGGCTTCCTCGCTCTCACTGGCATCATCTTCTTCGATATCGATGTTATCGATATCGGCATCAAACGCAATGACCTCATCTTCAGAGCGTGATGAGCGTGAACCAAATCTGTTTTTGCTCGCGCGAGTCCCTCCCCCTTAAACCAGAGTTACACTCTAGTAAGGTGGGTACACGCGGATGGCGCAAGCCATTCACGTAAAACGGTGTACGTGTCGTGGACGCATGTACCGAGTTGTTAATGGCAAACTCTACCATTGGCAGAAACTCACTCCAACTCTTAAAGGAGTGTACGTATCCTCGAAGTATCTCTTCAAGGACACGATTGGCTCGTTCCATATGACCATCTGACTCTGGATGATCAGATGTTGACATCTTCAAGCGCGTTCCGAGTAATTTGAACACGGAGCGCCAGAAATCAGCAGTGAATCGTGGATCTCTGTCTGATACGAGTTCACGGGGTAACCCATGAAGTCGGAAGATGGTGTCAATAAAGACACAAGCACAGCCACTTGCCGTGATTGTCTCTGGTACAGCCACAAGGTGTACCATTTTGCTGAATCTGTCAACAAATACGAGAATACCCGTATTCCCGCGTGCCTCTTTGGGTAACCCGAAGACGAAATCCATTGAGATGGATTCCCAGCACTCTGCCGGAACCGGTAGAGGCTGTAAAAGTGCACGCAGTGGAGGACTTAACTTCACTCGTTGACAGACTTCGCATGCGCGAACATACTTTCGCACAAACTGATACTGGCGGGGCCAGTAAAAGTCTCGACTCACCGTGAGATATGTTTTCTCCCGGCCACGATGTCCTATTAAAGGAGCATCGTGATACTAGGACATTATCCGCAAACGCAGATCAGTATCATCTGGAATGACAACACGTGATGTGTCACCAGAAACGGCTGTATAATACAATAAACCGTCGCGATTAGTGTACCGATCTGATGCAGATCGATACGCAGGCAACAATCGTTTCAACGATTCTCGAGATGGCTGTGAGAGATGTTTCAACAGCTTCACCATCTCACCATCTTGGGCGTATGCCCGCCTCACATCATCATACAACGTTGAAGATGGTACTGAGGACGTCATAACCGCAACAGTGACTGTCTCACTGTTGGGTTTCACGACTGGTTCAAAGTCGGGACGACGTGAAAGTGCATCAGCGACGACATTAATTCGTCCTGGTTTGTACTTGACCGTAAAGTTGTGATCTGCAAAGAATGACAACCACCGCGCCATTCGTTGTGAAAGGTGCGGGCTGTTCACTGCCGTGCGTAATGACGCATGGTCAGTGTAAACAACGAAGGGTCTATCTCCTAATAGATAGACTCTGAACTTCGCGAGTGCATACTTCATGGCAAAGAGTTCCTTGTCATGCACTGGATAGTTCCGATCAGCTGGTTGCAGCTGACGCGACTGATAGCAGACGACGCGTTCAACGCCTTCTAGGTCGTACTGCATTAATGCACAACCGATTGCGAAATCGCTGGCATCACAGACCACATGAAATGGCCTGTCCTGATCGACTATTGCTAGGACTGGGGATTGTATCAAGCTCTACTTGATACCATCAAAGGAGCGCTGACATTCAGCGTTCCATACCCACCTCTCGTTCTTTTTCAAAAAACGAGAGAGGTGCACAGTCATCTCGGCGTAATTGCGTGAATACTTATGCAAATACGTCGCTAGCCCAAGAAACTTTCGAAGACCTTTGACATCAACCGACACAGGCCATTCGGTGATCGCCTTGATCTTTTCGGGATCAGGACGTACACCGCTCTTACCAACGATGCATCCAAGAAGTGGTATTTCGCTTGCTGCAAATATACACTTCTTGAGGTTTGCATTCAATTGATGCTTTCGCATGATTGTAAGAACCTGTCGGACGTGGTACCTGTGAACCTCAACGTCCAACTTTCCATCCATAGCTCGACTATGGATAAAAACGTCATCGAAATAACTCGGCGCGAGTTCTCGTACTGGTCTCGACAGATGTGATACACATCTGTTGAACGTGACAGGGGCATTACTAAGCTCTTGTGGTATTTCTAGACATTCCCAGAGCATGCCGCTAGGCGTGCTCACTGCGGTATAGGGTATATCCCGTTCTCGCATAAGGATTTGATAGAAGCCATCCATCAAATCCATGGACGAAAAGATGGTACTATTTGACATACCATCAATGATTACGTCCTTCCTCGGTATAGGCGTCTGAGCCGGTACCGTTGCAGCGTTCAATTTGTTGAACGCGTGCACTATCCGCCACCCTCCTGTTGCTTTTCGCACACAGAAGGTCGGAGAGCTATGTGGGAAAGTTTATTCCCTCACATGGCCCGCAGCTGAACGATCGGCAAAGAACTTGTAGATCGCAAGCACTTGTTCACGAAGCAGTGGCCACTGCTTCATGACACAGTACTTCGAGCCTGGTTTAAGCTCGACCTCGTGTCGAATACCTTTATCCTTCGGTAATTCGCACGGAACAGTTTCAGGGAATACATCCTTGAATTCAACCAAATCTTCATAGAGAGGATTTTTCTTGAGCGATTCCCACGATTGGGAGTCATATCGCTCAATTCGTGTCTTTTCATCTAGGACACTCTCGTCCATAGATGAACTACTGAGAACTCTTTCGTTCTCAGTAAACACTGTTGCTGACCTTATGTCGGTTACACACTCGTCGTCAGCGACGAGTACGCAGATCTGCTTGACTTTGCCACTACGCAGATCACGCAAGAACCTTTTTATGCTCGAGCGTTGGCAACTGAGTGATCTCCGAAGTCAACTTCGGAGGCGCAATCAGATCAAGTGTATAAGCGCCTACACTTGATCCGTTATTGACGATGACATTCAATGTCTCTGTCACTTCCTGGTGACTTATTCCCTCAGGCCTCAAAGGACTTATTCCTTCGGCTTCCCGGGGACTTATTCCCGCGGGTTTCGGGGAACTTATTTCCGCCGTATTTGTAATCTTGAGACTTATTCCCTTTACTTCCTCTAGCTGGGGTTGCGCAACCACAGCGAGATCCTCTACGAAAGACTCTCCAGTCGATCTAGGATTATCGTTTCGCTTAACCTGAGCAATCGATGTTTCTCTTCTAGATGTTTCCCGCGAGGGATACATCTTTGTCCCAGTCCACCCGACTTATTCGAGTGGTGGACCTTCGGCGCACCTGTGTTTCCTCACAGCCGCCAGAATCTTGCTCCGAAGTGTAACTGTTTGTTACACTAAGATTTTGTGCAGTCGTACTAACGACCGTACCACAAGTGAGGCCATCGCACTCACTCGTAGTACATCCACACGCTTGTGGACGCTCCAAAACGTTCTTCAGATGGCCATCTGATGAACAAGCGGCTGGCATCGTTACTGTTCGATGTTGCCAGTTTACCCGTGGTTCGTACATTCTGAGCCACGGTATTCCAAGGATGACATCAAATTTGTCATCCAAATCCAATACGATGAAGTCATCGTCATATTGGGTATCTTCTAGCGTATAGTGGATCTTCACTATACGCTTCATGACGGTTACGGATGCGCCTGTCGCAAGACGTACCGTCATCCTCGTAGGAGGTGTGTCACATTCACTGAACTTAAAGTGACTATCTTCTAGCGATTGGCGTCGCACAAAATTGTTGGACGCCCCACAATCGACTAGAGCTCGAAGGGACAACTTATTCGTCACTTCGAGTTTCAAGGTAATGAGTGAGACCTCATTACCTAGAGCAGCAACGCACAACGTTTGTGTGTAGGGAGCAACCTTCATCAAGAGGCCTACAAGTTCTCTTGACGTAGCTGGACCAGTAGGGTGCTCCGCACCTACTGATCCTGTCCGTTTTTTGACGGTCCATCCCGTTGTTGCGTCTTTGCACCAACTGCGGACCCTCGTCCCTGCCCCTTTCTCATGGGTGGACGGTCACTACGCCCAGTGTTGCGATACACTGGACGAGGGGAACTACACTCGTAAGCGTATTGTCCTGTCTTTTGACATCTGTTGCATTTCTGCAACTTCTTGTAGTCTGTAGAGCGAGCCTTCTCGCTCTCTACATAACAGAGTTCCATCGGCTCTGGACCTCCGTTGTCATATCGTCTCGGTTGACGATATGATGTCGAGCTGGCGCGAGCCTGTCTCAGACTGAAGTCTTCCTGCTCCGCAATGGAAATGGCTTGTTCTAGTGAATCTAGTTCAAGTCGGAACAGGTGAGTCTTGACGTGACCATCCGCAAGACCCTGCTAGAACACCAAAACCAATGTGTGTTCATCAACCGGATTGGAACTTATACAACTCGTGAGGTGTCGTATATGTTGTGCGTAAGCGTACACATCACGCTTACCCTGCTTAAGCTTCAAGAGTTCGGTTCGAGCTCTGAACTCATCTCTAGGCGGTTCAAACGTTTTTCTGAGCCGCGACTTGAAGACTTCCAACGACCCAAACGCATATGGGTCGTGCAACTTGAGCCCCAGTGCCCAAGTCTTGGCACGTCCTGCCAGATTTGACTGGGCAAATGCAACTTGCATATCCCCGTCGTCGATGCGACGCGCCCTTATGGCGTCATCTAATTCGACAAAGTATCTCTAGAGGGAGTCCTCTTCGACTCCCCTATACTTGGAGATGTCAATCTTCAAGGTTTCGGGTCGACGCGAATGCATCGACCCACCAGCAGCAGCCTGCTGCTGTCTCAACAGTTCAAACTGTTGAGCACCCTGTTCTCTCAACAACTCTGCTTGTTGAGAACCTTGTTGGTGAAGCAAGGCTACTTTCTCGCGTTCTGCGTCAAGTTCATTTTGAATGAACTTGGTGATAGTAGCATGTTGGGCATCTCTACTGAGAGCCTCTAGCATGACGCTAACAGCATGGATGCCCATGGTTGAACCCATTCGTTCAACCGCATCCCATTCGACATCGCTCAAATGGGAGTAGCCGTCACGCGTAGCGTGAAAGCTTTGGTCATCTTCATCATCCAACATATTCATGCTGGATGTGAACGCGGTCCTTGGACGGACTACGAAGTGCTACCAGGTGTAACGGGGCACCCTGAAGCTTGTACTGGTGACAGTACAAGCTACTTATTCTGATGACAGAATGAGGTGGTGCCGCGTAACTTCACGTACACTGGTACGTGCAGAGGAAGATGGTAAGGAGAAGTGAGCACTTGACTAAAGTAATAAGTAGAACTGTATTTAGTATAGCTAATGTCTGTTAATAAACCGCTATTTATCCTCATCTAACTATGTCTAAATACAAATGTGTAAATCAATTATCTGCTCACCACTCATTGCGTGCGTCTGTCGTGGCGCGTCTTCGTTGGTTGATTCAATGGCCTATATCAACCAATTAGGAACTACTCGTAAGTGCAACAGAATTTTTGTCCTTATGACAATATTCTGAGAATATAACTCTTGTAGTTATATTCTATTAACAATTTCTTATAAATTGTTATGTAACGATTCACCCCGTTACAGGTACGGTCTGCCAGAATGTGCTCTGCCGCACCGGAGATCTTACTATACGGGCGATGAACCAATTTAACAAGCTATAGAATAATGTTAAGGCAGCCCACACATAGCGACGCAATCATCCTATTAATTCCTGCGAGGATCGCTTTATTGCGCGACTTTAGTGTACTTACAGTGGTCAGAGAGTTTTATCAAATGCACAAGGAACGTCAGCATGGGTTAGTCTCTTTGCCAACTTGCGTGAAATGGCCAGACACCACATACCTATACCAGAGTCAACAAATTTGAGCCCTCTGCGCGACCCGTGCCTGATCAGGCCCTGAACCAACCAGAGATACCTGCAGTGTAATAAGAAAGTAAGAGTGGTCAATTTTTTGAAAGTGTGCTGGGTGTGTAGCAAAAAACAACGATTAAATTTTGTGAAGATTACTCCTGTACAGCTTGTAGTTGTTTGCAATTCGTTTAGCCTCTTTTTCATGAACTTGTACCAATCCAGGAAGGTGCATCAAACCATATTTGACGGCTTCAGGTTGCACGCCGCGTTTGTCCCACGTGTCAAATTGCGCTACATCCAACTTCTCTGCATGTATCTTCGACGACGGTATATCCTTAGCCCGCAAGATCAGGACAGCCAAGTCGTTTTCAAAATATCTCTGCAGCAGGTCCTGATACATTACAGCGTACGCTTCTGGATCCGGCGTCTTGGCGACGGTCCTTAGGACATTCCTCAGGTAGTGATACGAGAACGAACCGACCTCTTGTTCTGCGACGAGCGTTTTGAGTGCATCGTCTGAATAAAACCCGGAACGTTGTGCAGCCGGGTGTATCGAAGGAACGATACGAGCGATTTCGTTCTTAACAGCCTCCGACTCGAGCTGCTTGGTCTCGCTTGACTTCAGCAGTTCGCTGACACGATCACCAAGTATAGCCAGACCTGTCTCAAGTCCGCTCTCGGCCTTGCCAAAAGCACCTTGTACGGCAATCAGCCGATCTTCTTGTTCTATACCGTCGGAAGAGGAACCCCTCTGCATTTCCTTGGCAGGCTCGTGCTCGAGTTCATTGACGCTACCTTCCGTGACGTTCGCTTCTTTGGGTAACGCACTAAGCTCTGCGACGATGCACACCGTGCTACTTATAAACAGCGCGAGGGGGTAGAAGGACTTCATGCCTCGACGTGACAGGAGTTTCGGACGATATCCAGGCAGCGGAGCGTAGATCGAGAAATAAACTTACTGGTCGACTCATTTGGCACCCACAGGACAAAGCAGGGAACCAACAAGACTCGTCATCAACGATGTATGGACGTTGTCAGTACAAAAGGCGTAATCGCTAGAGATGATGGGTCGTGACACCTCTGTACCGTAGTATGAGTAGAAGAGATCGTGAGTGCAGACAGGCAGCAGGGTGCTGCAAATGTGCAGCAGCTCATATCTGGTACTCAACTATGACTGGTGGTGCAAGTGGCTTGTTAAAACAGCGCCATCATAGATCGACTATCTCATGCTCACGTTGATCTACGCTCTGTCTCCGGAAGCAAACGCTAACCACTCAATACTAGGATTTACAAAAGCGCGATCAGCGAACAGAGCCACAATGTCGTACAATATTGGTGGGACGTCACTCACGCTAGGATGTTCGCTTTTGAGCAAAAGTCTCCAAACATTTGAAACTTTAGCGAGGCTCGAAACCCCCGGAATGGCATTTATCCACGAGGGTTACGGAGCAAACAGGCAAATGAGTAGAAAACGCCGGAGTATGTTTGTGCAGCAACTGCTCATCATGCCTTGCCATACCTCTTACAAGTCTAGCGCACGAATGCCGTCGCGGCTGCGCCTAAAAGACCAGCACGTCAAAGACATGCGAATGCATTAGCACCCAGGCAAAAGACGACTAGTGTGCCGCAACGCTACGAGTCATGCTTGTAATACAGACAGCCACGGACCACATAACTGGCGGTACGTTAAATGTCGGAGAAGTCGTGGTGCAATGGACCTTGACTGGTCACTTAGGCAAATCGCAGATGCAGCGAGCGTGATTACTCCTGCAACAACCAATGGTGGCTAAAAGCCACATATTGACGCGACAGAAAGCTAGACGATAAACAACCAAGACACAATAAATGGATGATGCAATGACAGTAGTTAAGACGCGATCGTAAGGCGAGCACTACGCTCGCTGGTGTGAACGCTCAAAAATCGGACTATGCAAGTTCTGACAGTACGAGTGAGCCGTTGCGCGATTGCTGGTCCTGGGACAGCATCTTCCAATGATTTTACAGCATCTTTGTCCAGCTGCCTGCAATGGATCCTTTTTTTTTGTCGTTCTTCTGCTCCTATTAGCGCCTCACATCGAACAAGCACGGCGCTTTTCACGTCGAAAGACAGACTGATCCACGGAGGATGTCGCTGCCTCAGACTTGGTATCTTTCTGGACAGTCCGTATTGTGCCATCTTCCAATCTTGTCGTGACGGTACGTCATAGGCAAGTTTCACATACGTCCATCGGTCTGTGGCGTCTCGTCTGCGACTGGTGCAGCACCCTAACCACGGACGAAAAAAAGCACCTCGCACCCTCGTGCCCGACCCACCTGTGACACCTTTGCTCCCAGTTGAATTCAATACCACCCATTCTTCCTTACAGTCCAAAATGACGTTGCAAATAAACGCGAGTGAGCAAAGTCTGCGCCGATGATGAAGCGATACGATGCGCTGCAACAAGAACCGAAGGTGCCACTCAGCACGTCAAACGATACGAGTGAAAGATACTCGACGACAACAACAACCACAAACTAACGGTGATGAACAAATATCTCTATTTGCTACTACTAGCTGCGCTTCGTCTTCGCACGACGTATTGTATCAATCATACCAGCGTCGATTGTAAAGGTGCTGGTCTATCTGCATTTCTAAAGCGACAGCGGTGGTCGCATGGCCTGCTGTCAGATGAATTTATCTATGACCTGCATGATATGAAGCAGGCGTACAAGCTTCCTATGACCGTCAGCAGAGATGAATCACGTTTCGAGGAGAGCATTCATCAAGTCCGTGACCACGTACGCGTGCTCGAGTTACGTGACCTCGTCGTCGGTACGCACAAGTTGCACCTGACAATAAATTTGCTGCAGACGCATGAAGGACTATCGTGCTTATACATGAGCGAGTTTTTTTCTCTTTTTTGTTTTGGTAGTGAAGAAGTGTAGTTGAATCATCCAGGTGTTGCGAATAGACGATAGCGGGTCAAGTGGGTCATGGGACGGTGGGAGACGTTGGTCTGCTAACGGCATCTGAGGTATCCATTGGTCCGCTTAGGTGAAAGTTAAAAAGGACGTGCCGGTGGTGAAATGTCCACACTAAAAAAACCGTGGACGTGAGCAGTCGGCCAGAATATAGGCGGTCCGTCAGTCGTACCATCTGACCAATCAGTATTTCTAACAATTTGGTCAGATGGTACATAGATCCACGAAATTGATTACGATACAGCATGGTGTCTGTCTGAAAGAGCGCCACGTATTACGGGTACAGTCGTAGCTGTAAATTGGGCTAAGAACGCGTGTTGCGCTTGACATTTCGAATAAAGTGGGACAAGACGACAAAACAAACGAGACAGGCTGGCCAATATTGGCTGCTATGCCATTGTAGCGAACGTTTGTTCCGTGGTAGACGGTCTACTTACACAGTTTATGCATAACGCACTCAATCGTCATGGCAATCTGCTAGACGCGCGCGCGTTAATTTTGCCCTGTTGTCAGAGATGGCTCATATAACCTAGACAGCCTGATGTAACACGGCTAGCATCCAGGCTACGTAACTTCGGGAGTGAAGTGAATGGAAATGAGCGTACAGATGTGTGATATAGACGCGCCGGCCATTTGGAATGATGCTCGAATCGCGAGGCTCGTGGATTACACTAACCGCTTAACGAAAACCGGACGACGTCGCTTTTTGCAAATGCTGATGTCGTTATGCGAACTCATTAATGTGAGCGCATCATTACGACTTATGGCATGGAGCAATAATTGATTGCGAGCTCGAAGGGTGAAGCTATTAGTGGTTGTGCGCAAGGTTGTACGCCAAGCTTTTAAAGCGTACTTATCTGCATGTCTGTGTGACATTGGCTAAATCGCACTTAGAACGTGTAAAGTGCACCTGCCGCGTTATTTGCAAAAACAGACACCGACTAGGCAAATTCAAAGTCACACTTTCGCAGGGTCACTATTGTGACGCACGCACGCGATTGGCTTCAACCGAGCAAAGGTGAATATGGTCACATTAGCAAATGCTGGACGATCATAAGCAAAGGCTGATCGCGTTGCCCATAGATACTATGCATAGTTAATACGACAATTACAGCATCATGCTCATTCTCCAGCGTGTGCTGCTGTAGTGTTTTGCTTCTTGATTCAGTTCTTCGAGCTGAACTACTTTTATCAAAGGGCGAGCCCCAGAGCTTTCTCCTCTATCGTTTTTTATGTGAAGCCATAGCGCGAAGCTATTGTTTAGTGTGCGTTTGGTGAAAGCCGTGCAAATGACTGTCTTTTTATTTCTCACGAGTGTGCACCGTGACGTTTTTCCATGTACGAGTCAGCAAATACTTTTTCTTCGAAAGTAGATACACATAAAATGAGCCACCCTTTACGAGGTCACAAATTGAAACCTGTTCAAAGAGACTCTGTAGTTCACGCAAACACGTACGCCAATTTGTAATCTCTGGCTGCGATTAACGGCAGAGGGGTTCTTACAGTTAACCACTGGTAATCAATGAATGTTTTCATGCATGTTTTTATGTAAAATGCTAAGATCAGCCGGCATATCTGTGGTGAACGGATTTTGACTATGTATTACTTCTATCAGCCGATTTTGAAAGTCAATATTCGTCGGTCTTATACTTGTCTATTTACGTCTCGTCGCTCTCAAGCTTGATGGGATGAGGCTCGTCGAGATGGGACTCGTCTAGATAAGACTCGTTAAGTCCAGACTCGTCAAGGCTCGTTCACATTAGGATCGTCGAGTTTCAAATCTAACTAAGCATTTGGAAGATCGACCGTTCAAGTCACTAGGTATTTGTATGGGGGTAGCAGGGGAAAGAATGGGAACCACCAAATAGGCAGAGACATAGATGATTATTTACAGAGCAGAATATTTGAGTCCTAGTAAAGCGTATACTATTTTGATAAGTCTCTGCGTAGAATGAATTATGTCTGCCGTTGAACCCCTAGAGGCATTGCTTGTACAGGTTTCGACTGGAAGCGCCAAGAGTTCAATTTGGCCAAAGACGAGAAATTTTCTCTTTCAGCAAAAGAAAGAGCCTCGTCGACGACAAGTCGGTAAGCTCAAAGGATGGTAACGCTAAAACCTTGTCGAGTGACAATATAGTAAAACAATTAGATGGTACTGTTTGAGTCTCGTCTAGCGGCGAGCCAGTAACCCGGTAGACGGCATTGCATTCACTCCCGTCGAGAGACGAGCCGGTGGTTCTTTTACCAAGGACACCGTAAATTTTCTAGTTGAGCGTACATTTGCGCCCGGTGACTTACAAAAGTGTAAAAGCGCCAACGTCCATTCGTAAAGCCACAGATTTGAGAGCTTTATATGAGGCTGAGCTCAGGTAGTCTTTTAGAGATGTGGGTTGCAATAAATCTGGTAGCTTAATACCACAATTGAACCCGTAGGGGCGAACCGCGAAGGAACTTTATACAAGTTAATAACCCATTTTGCCGAAACAACATGCGAATGGTGTGTTTGTGCGTGTAAGGCTGTATTCCTACGAATTAATCAAACTGCTATACGACATTTTTAGATATTCTCATCTATCTCATCTACACTTAAACACCCATCAAGCGAACTACTATAATACAACTTCGAAATCGTTTATCACTTGTTAACACGTCAAAAAAAACATGTAAGTGCTTTGTCACACAAAATCCAAATTTACTATATTCAGCACAATTTGAACACATGGCTTATCCTCCACCGACTGACCATCGATCCTAGAAGGGCACAAGGATAATAAATATAGCATTCAGTCCTTGTTACTAAGTTCCTTGTATCAAGTTTGAGCTTGATACATTGCTCCTCTAGTTCATGTGTACAACATATAGAGATAAGCTTATAGGAAGCGCCTTTTTACTAGCAGAAACTAGATTTGCAGATTGGTTAAGATTGTTAATCGTTCAAAAGTGTAGACATGATCAAATGCTTGACATATATCGCTATTGGCCTACCGGGGTAGCCTGATACATGATATCGACACCAAATGGTGTCAATAGGGAGATTGTCTAGCGTTACAATTTCCTACCAATTTTATCCGAGATGGATGATATTGAAGGAACATTTTCCCCTTGTAGGATAGTATTCAAGCGCTGCTTAAAGATTGGTTGATAAAAGACATATCATCCAAGATTACCACCAATCGCTGTTAGACGCGCATAAAGGGTGGTGAGCAGGTTGTCTTTATAGAACAAAGTAGATTAGAATAGTTCGATGAAGTTTAGCTTCCTCTGCACGTACTAGTGTACGAAAAGTTTAGTGGACCCCTAAACCAAGGGGCGCCCCGTTACATTTAGTAGCACTTCGTAGTCCGTCCAACGACTACTTAGTGTCCGTCCAACATGTTCATGTTGGACGTAGAAGACGACAGCTTTCACGTGCACACGTGAAGGCTACTCCCATCTGAGTAACTCAAATTAAAAGATAGTCGGTCGTGTGAGTGTGCTCATAGGCGAACCCGCCATCAGTGATATGTTGGAGTCTTTTAGCAGAGACCAGCAACACGCCGCTATCAACAAGTTCCTACTAAGGGAACTTACCTTCGAAAGACGGAAGATAGCCTTACTACATCAGCAAGGATCTCATCAGTCGATAAGCGGGCCGACGCACATTCGTCGAACCGAAACCTTGAAGGTTAATGTCTCAAGGTTCAAGGCAGCGGATGAAGATTCCCTTTCGAGATGGTTCATCGAGTTAGACGACGCCATCAGGGCCCGTCACATCAAGGGTGACGAGATGCAAGTTCTCTTCGCCCTGTCAAATTTGACAGGACGAAAAAATACTTGGGCCTTAGGGCTCAAGCTTCACGACCCAAACGTGTTTGAGTCGTTGGAGATTTTGAAGTCTTGGCTCAAAGAGACTTATGAGCCGCCGATAGCCGAGCTCAGAGCACGCTCTGCAATCTTGAGACTAAAGCAAGGTAAGCGTGTCGTGCACGCTTACGCACAGCACCTGCGCTACCTTGCGAGTAGCGTTACGGATAACCCTGTTGATGAGCACACGCTCATCAACGTGTTCATCTACGGTCTTGTGGATGGGCCGGTCAAGACCTACATGTTCCGAGAGGACTTCCATTCGCTGGAAAAGGCGATAGCGTATGCGGAACAAGACACTTCAGCCTGAGACAGTCTCAGGATATTTCGTCAAACTATCGTCCGACGAGACGACAGGAAACAGGAAGTCCCGAACCAATGGACATCTGTTACATCGAGAGCGAGAAATCTCGCTCTCTGAGTCACAAGCGAACGGCAAGATGCCAATGTCTGCCTGAATATCGGACACTGCGCTCATGAGTATGTTTTTTTAAGCACCGCATCACATCCAAAGACAGGTCGTGATGACCGCCGTTGGCCAAGGAAAGGTTCGAAGCGTGGGTCCAACCATATCGCTAAGCCGCGACAGCAAGTCGGACCGTCAAAAAAAGGTCAGGTTCAGTAGGGGCAGACCACCCTGCTGATCCAGCAACGTCAAGAGAATTTGCAGGAATCTTGAAAAAGATTGCTCCCAACACGCAGTCTCTGTGTGTTACTGCCTTTGTGATGAGGAGTCACTCATCACTTTGAAGATCGATGTGACAAGTGGAATGTCACTTCGCGCCCTAGTTGACTGTGGGGCGTCGAACATTTTGTTCGACGTCATTCGCTAAAAGATAGTAAACTCAACTATGTTTAGCGAGATATCCCTCCGACGAGGATGACGATGTGCCTTGCTACAGACGCATCCGTAACAGTGAAGAAACGTGTAGTGGGAATCCACTACACGCTAGAAGGAAATCAGTACGATGATGACTTCATCGTACTGGATTTGGATGAAAAATGCGATGTCATCCTCGGTCTGCCATGTCTAAGAAATTACCAGTCATGGATCCGCTGGAAGCATCGATATGTGAAGATGCCTGCCGTCTGTGCATCAGATGGCCATCTGATGAACGTCTTGGAGCGTCCACAAGCGTGTGGATGTACTACGAGTGAGTGCGATGGCCTCACTTGTGGTACGGTCGGTAGTACGTCTGCACAAGATCACAGTGTAGAAAGCTACTACACTGTGGAACCAGCTTCCGGCAGCTGTGTAGAGAAACAGGCTGCGCCGAAGGTTCACCAATCGAAGAGATCGAGCGTAATAAAACACGGATGCACATCAAGAAGGGTGCATCCCAGAAGATCGATTAGTGCTGTTTAGGATGAGCAACAAGTTGAAGAGAGATCGACTATCAGAGAGTTGATCGTAGAGCAAGCCCGATCGCCTGAAAGAGAGTCGATCGAAGGAAATTGACTGTGGTAGTACACCCACAGTCAATACACGCATCGGAAGAAAGTTCCAGCGGTTCTGAGCGTGATAACCCCCGCCAGAGTTATGTTGAAAGTGTGTTTCCCCAACCACCTGCGAATGTGTTTTCTTAGGAAATCACCGAGACAGTGAATGTCTTGGTAAATGAAGGATCAAGTGTAGGCGCTTATACACTTGATCTGGTTACACCTCCGAAGTCAGCTTCGGAGGTAATTAAGTTGTCCACGCTAGAATCCAAAAAATCCTGCGAGATCTGCGTAGTGACAAGATCAAGCAGATCTGCGTAATTGTCACAGAGGACGAGTACGTCGCCGATAATTGAGTAGCACTAGTGTTTGCTGAGAACGAAAGGGTTCTCAGTAGCTCATCGATGGATGAAATTGTCCTCGATGAGAAGACCCGGAATGAGCGATACACGTCTTAATCTTGGGAGTTGTTAAATACAAATCCTTTGTATAAGGATTCGGTCGAATTCAGGGATGTTTATCTTGAATCCGTGCCATGCAAGCTGAATAAGGACAAGGGCACTTGGCACGAGATCGAGCTGAAACCCAGGTTGACGTACTGTGTCATGAAGCAATGGCCACTGCCTCTTGAACAGGTAACAGCGATCGACAAATTCTTTGCAGATCGCTTAGCGGCTGGTCATGTGAGGGAATCAACATCCCCACACAGCTCTCCGACTTTCGGGGTAGAAAGTCCACAGGAGAGTGGCGGATAGTGCACGCATTAAACAAATTGAACGCTGCAGGAGTACCGGCTCAGACGCCGATACTAAAAAACGACGTCATCATAGATGGAATGGCAAAAGGTACCATCTTTTCGTCCATGGATTTAATGGATGGATTCTATCAGATCCTCACGCGTGATCGGGATATCCCGTACACAGCAGTGAGTACCCCTTGGGTATGCTCTGAGAGTGGCTAGTGATGCCACAGGGGCTAAGTAACGCCCCTGTAACGTTCAACAGATGTGTTACGAATCTGTTGCGACCGGTGCGCGACTTCGCACCGAGTCACTTCGACGACGTCTTCGTCCATAGCCGGGCTATGGATGGAAAGACGGACGTGGACGTTCATAGAAACCACGTTCGAAGGATCTTACACTTATGCGAGGGAATAATTTGTTCGCGAACCTCGAAATGTGTACATTCGCGCTAAGCAAAATACCAATTCTTGGCTGCATCGTGGGTAAAAACGGCATACGCCCTGATCCGGAAAAGATAAAGGCGATTAGCGACTGGCCTGTGCCAGTCGAATTCAGGAGACTTCGTGAATTCCTTGGCTTAGCGGCGTAGTAGCGCGAGTACTTGTGCAACTACGCCGAGATGACCGTACATCTCTATCGTCTATTAAAGAAATGAGAAGTGATCATGGAGCGCTGAGTGTCAGCAGTCCTTTGAATGCGTCAAGAAAAGCTTGATGCAATTGCCTGTTTTAGCAATTGCAGATCAGGATAGGCCAGTTCATGTGGTCTGTGACGCCAGCGATTATGCAATCGGCTGCGCGTTAATGAAGTACGACTCAGACGGCGTTGAGCGCGTCGTCTGTTATCAATCGTGTCAGCTGCAAGCAGCTGAGCGTAATTACCCGGTGCATGACAAGGAACTACTTGCCATGAAATATGCTCTGGCAAAGGTTCGGGTATATCCCTTTGGAGACAGGCCCTTCATCGTTTATACCGATCATGCGTCGTTAAGCACGGCCATAAACAGTCCACACCTCTCGCAACGTTTGGCGAGGTGGCTGTTGTTCTTCGCGGAGTACAACTTCTCCGTCAAGTTTAAACCAGGACGACTTAATGTCGTCGTTGATGCTCTTTCGCGTCGGCCCGATTTTGAGCCGACTGCTCAACACAACAGTAGGGGTGATCCCACTGTAGCAAAACTACCAGTGAGTTTTCCGTCGTCGAATCTGCTCGACGACGTGCGAAAAGCATACGCATAAGATGAGTCTCTTCTGCAATGGATGGATTACATATCCAATCCGTTTGATCAAGCTTTGAAAAGCTTGTCGTCTCAATACCGCTCTTCAACCGAACGGTATCGGTTCGTGATGGACTGCTGTACTACACAGCAGTCACCGGCGACACGCCTCGTGTCGTCGTTCGTGCTCATGATAATTTGCGATTTCGCATCATGTATGAGTGTCACAAAGCCCCAACAAGTGGGCATCGCGGTTGAGAAAAGACGTACCTCACGGTATGTCGTGACTTTTACTGGCCACGCCAGCATGAGTTTGTGCGCAAACACATTCGCGCTTGCGAAGTTTGCTAGCGGGTGACACATAGTCCGTCATCCAGTACACCCTTGCAGCATCTACCATTTCCGGTAGAGCGCTGGCAGTCCGTATTGACGGACTTCGTCTTTGGGATTCCCAAAGACGCCCACAAGAATACTGGTATTCTTGTGTTTGTTGACCGGTTCAGCAAGATGGTACATCTTGTTGCTGTACCGGAGTCAATCACAACCCAGGGCTGTGTGCGTGTCTTCATCGATACTGTCTTCCGACTTCACGGGCTACCCCGTGAACTCGTGTCCGATAGGGAACCCCGCTTTACAGCGAAGTTCTGGCATTCCGAGTTCCGTTCACTTGGAACACGTTTGACGATGTCGACTTCTGACCATCCAGAAACATGTGTCCAAACGGACATCGTCAACCGCATCCTCGAAGAGATACTTCGAGGGTATGCTCACTCGTTTACGAGATGGAGTGAGTTCGTGCCGATGGCGGAATTCGCGATCAACAACTCGGTACATGCGTCGAAAACGCATAAACCGTTATTCTGAATGGCCTACGCCATCCGCGTTTACCCGCCTTCTTAGAGTGTGACTCTAGTTTAAGGGGGGGTGGACTCGCTCGAATAAAAACCGATCTGTTTCTTGCTCATCACCCGTCGACAATGGTGTCGAAGTGATAAATGCCGATGTCGATGCGATCGATATCGATGATGACGATGACGACGATGCTGGAATATTCAACATCGCCAATGACCGCCAAAGTGAGGACGATGATGCCCTCACTGGTAAAGACAACGCTTTTCTAGCAGTGCACACGAAGCGCACTGCTGTTGACAAGGATGAATTAGCAGAGGAATTTCTGCTGACTCGCGAAGCGGTTGTCCGCTTCGTTCAAGCCTCTACTGCAGATGCACTAGACAGACAAAGAGAACCGCAGACCAACATGGAAGAGAGAGATTTATGCTGCGCGGTCCTTCAGATCACCCTGGGGTGAACTGCGAGTACTCTGACTCAGTTTGAACTCCTTACAGGACCCGCACCCCTCATTACACTATGGAGCTTTTCGGCTTGTAGGGCCTCCGGACGGCACCGGCCACTCATTGGTGGTTGCTCGAATATATTATTAGCCTATCTCCGGCGCCCTGTAATTGAACCCCCACCGGGTATCGATCCAGGTACCTCCCGGTCCCAGTTCCAATGGTCTACCACTCGGCCACTAGGGTCGGTGACCAACATGGAAGAGCAAATGCTCTTTCATTTAATGAAGGAGACCTAGTCTTAGTGTCTACAGTAAATCTACCGAAACACGCAGTGACAAACGTGGGCAGCAGTAAATTACCGCCCAAGTATATCGGTCTATTTCGTGTGTTACGCCGAATGAACAACGCATACACGATTGAACTGCCCCGTAAGATGCGCACGCATCCAACGTTTTACACTGGTCGTCTCCGCCCGTACTATCAGTACTAGTCCGTTTCGAGATGCGAAGAACACCTCCACGGTCGAGAGCCGGGACCTACCTCGAGTGGTCCCGTTTCAACGAACCAGTCTGGTCTACTAGCGAAGCGACCTGTTCACGCAGCTCAGCGATGTCTCGACGAGCAGCAGCCAGCTCATCACGAAGAGAACGAGTCGAACATTCGTTCTCGAGTTGCGCGAACGTAAACGCGGCACGATCGTTCGAACGATCGTGCGCTAGGGAAGTGTAATTATTCCTTCCGAGGTCATGGAGCTTATAACGCTAAGTCCGTTCATGATCCAGGTCATCTTGCAACTGTTCCGTTAGACGGTGCAGCTCTTAAACATCAAGCTGATCCGACTCTCCTGCCGAATCAGGTGTTCCCACCGCCACCACATCCTTTGGTGGACTCAAGCGGGGGTCAACTCTTCCTAGTGGAGCGTATCTTGAGCCACCGCGATGTGAATGGCGTCCGGTCGAGTTACCTCGTCCGGTGGCGTGGCTATCCATCGGCGTGGGACATCTGGGAGCCTCATTCCCTGCTGATCGTTGATGTCCTTGGTCTCGTCGAGCAGTACGACGAGACCCACCCGCTGCCATCGAAGAAGAGTCGTCGGAAAACGACCTCCCCGAACGCGAGTACAGGGATTGCAAAGTGTCGATCCCTTCGGCCATCTCGGTAGAGATGCGCGCCCTACAGTAGGGATCATTAGGGAGTAAGGCCTTTCCTTGGGGCACGGTTCAAGTTGTACAGGCAACCTGGACACGAATCACCCCACGAGAGACAGGATAATCCTGCCTCTCTTGAAAGCCGGTGCAACTTGTATCGCGCCCCGACTGGTCTGCGTTTCTCTAACTTGATGCGAACTGCATAAATTTTGGCGAGCCAGGCCTCACGGCCAATGCAATCGTTGTTGCGGATGAGGGCATTCCATCCTTGCACCAAAGCATTTCCGTCTCGACCACGATTGCCGTTCTACCACCGATGTTGGAAAAAACACATCGGTGAAAAACTCTACCTCAGCACGGATAGTTTTGGTGCTGGAGTTAGAATGGCATATATTTCTACAGCCGAACAACAGGATTCGATCCCGTTCGGTGGTCATGCCGGCCAACCGTTCCAACTCTCTGGATGACGGCATCCAAAGAGACTCCACTTGAGGAGCGTGGCAAATGAAATCGCGGTTCCTGGTCTCTTGAGTGGTGTCATCATGAGCACTGAAACCAGTGCCACCCCGATCCCTCGAATTACTTCGGTCGTGGTGATGTATAGGTGCATCACCACCATCTCCACGCGTCCTATCGCTGGATGGACTTGCGTGAGGCGGAGATTCGTCGCAATAATCACTCGATCTGAAGATCTCAGACATGACGCCGCCGCGTTGACCAGAGCCAGTCAACCCGGCTCTTGCAGTGTCCGCCCAGGATGATCCGGAGGCGTGAGGTGTCACCTTCGAGTCGGATGCATCATCCGACTTGCCAGAATCAGTGAGCCCTATTTCAGTCCAACCTGCATTGCGAGTTGCAGCACCCGATGCAGACGCAGCGGATGTATCTGTCGCACGTGGTGACTCACCACGTAAAATGTTCACAACGGAAACCTCCTGTTGCTGAATCGCAACAGCAGGCGAAGGATCACCTGCTGCTGATGCAAGCGAAGAACTATTTTCGCATGCACATCGCATGGACTTTGACACCATGCGATGAATTGACAAATGAGTTGGAATTTGATCAGTAATTGCCTCCCTTCCCAGAGTGATCCAACGGTACTCATTCTGTCCCAATCACTTGAATTTAATCAACGAATGATTGATTATTATTAAGCGGTGACGTAACGAGTATCCCATTACATGATATTGACACCGAATGGTGTCAATAGGGAGATTGTCTAGCGTTACAATTTCCTACCAATTTTATCCGAGATGGATAAAATTGAAGGAACATTTTCCCCTTGTAGGATAGTATTCATGCGCTGCTTAAAGATTGGTTGATAAAAGACATATCATCCAAGATTACCACCAATTGCTGTTAGACGCGCATAATGGGTGGTGAGCAGGTTGTCTTCATAGAACAATGTAGATTAGAATAGTTCGATGGAGACTGAAGTTTTGTTGATAGCTAAACTAAATCAGATACAGTTTTCTTTATACAATTTAATCAAACCAGCTGTTTGAGTAGATTACCTTCCTCTGCACGTACTAGTGTACGTGGAGTTTCGCGGCATCCCAAACAAAGGGTGCCCCGTCATAGAAAGAACTTGTGAATCCATACTCTTCCAAGACTTAAAAGAGGAAATCCTGTGCCACCCTGTCGTATGCCTTTCGAACATCCAGCTACAAACCTACTCGACTCCGTTTTGCTTCCAAGTCAGGTTCAGCCCAAGCAGTAGAGACTATGGCGAGCATCATCATGACTGTTTTCTTCATCTGTCGTCCCTGCACAAAACTTTGCCGGTTGTCCCTGATTGCCTTAGGCATAAGAGCTTGTACCCGTGTATTCATAAGTTTGGCAAATGTTTTGTACTCTGTTTGAAGAAGCGAAATTGGCCGGTAATCCACGAGCATCTACCGAGTCCCCCATTTTGCGAAGTGGAATACTGAGGCCTTCTAATAATGGAGGCGGTGGATCCTTCCCATTCAGTAATTTGTTCCCGAGGATTACCATCGCCGGCGCTAAAATTGCTTGATTGTCTTTATAAAAGTCAGTATCAAGCCCATCCGGCCACGCCGCCTTGTGCCAATTAGGTCCTGCTATTGCAGTGACCACTTCGTCCACAGGCTGAAGCAAAGAAGGATTTTCGATCAAAGTCATTTTGCGAGCCTTCGAAATCGTGACAAATCATCGAGCGCCTGACGCATGCGCCACTGTGGTACGGCCGAAAACCTGCTGCCACTCCAAAGCAAACTTATCGGCGAAGTTCAGGTCGATGAGTTGCTGATGGAGAAGACCTTATTTCAAATCGGATGTGGTGCTACGTACTAGTGTAGTAGGTAGACCTGTTACGTGGGACGCGAACGCGACCGATAAGCGTGGCAGTCTCTCAGGATAGTGACAAGACGTTGCAGACTTCCTCCCGTCGATTTTGCTGTCACAAAGAGTGAAAAGCAACTCGCACCGGCTGCTCGCGACTGCGGCTGGCTATTTTGGCACATAATTATAACGGCGAGCTATCGTCACAGCAGTTGATATGCAGCGTCGGATTTGAGCATGTTGCACTGGTATTCTTCCAATTTGGTGATGGAGGACAACAAACTTACCAGACGCCTCACAATTGCGGGCACGCAACGAGTCTGAGTTGAGTTTCGGTGAAGCCTGAGACTTGTTGCACAAGCTGAGAGGCCCGTGCTCGTCGTTCAGCTGCTGACGGCGCCTTCATGATGGTAAACAAGCGTGTACCAGTCTCGGAATGCCTCAACTTTCTTCGTTGCAGCTTGGTCTACCCGCAGCACGAACATGCGTCGACCTCGACTGAATGTCCTCCAGTCACCTTCAAAGCGCAACATTGCACACCCATAGCTCAGCCTTTACAGCACGACAATTGTTGCACCTCATACACAAAGACTATCGCAGCAGAGTCAGCGAATCGCGAGGAAGCAATCAAGCTACCTCGCATCGGGTGGTCAGCCATCAAGCTTAGGCGTTTGGCACGAATATCAAGCACGGTAGGAAGTCCCAGCGATGCTCTGTGGTTGTCGACATTACGACCACGGGATACGGAAGTTGTAGGCATTTGATTTCGGCGCTCAGCTGTCGCAGCGTTGCCGCCTTCGAAACGACGATTGTCGCAAGCACCATCTGCTTCACCAAGGTCCAGTTCACGACACTCCTCGCTTAACGTGACACCCTTCGTGCTTCGACGCAGTCCTTCACTAAACTCTTCGGCCGAAATGGTCAGTCGAGAGCAGTCAACTTCCTCCAGGAAGGCAATACTTGATACCAGATGTGTGAAGAAATAGCCTGGCTCCGAAACCAACTTGGAAGGATTGCGGTACTCCAGGATGTAAGCCACGTTGCGCTTGAGCTCGCACGGATTTGCATGTAAAACTACATAGATCAGCGCGGGCAAAAAATCGTCTGCCGACGGGAATCTGTCGCCGTTCTGCATCTTCAGGAATGATGTCAGGTCTTGACACACACGCAAAACACCATCCATCTTACGCCGTGGACTTGGGTACAGCGTCGCGGCTTCCAGCTGCGTCGCCAGACGTAGCCACGTCTGAGCTTGCTCGTCCGTCTCTGGCTCGGGTAAATCCAGATGTTTGAACGTAACAAACGCCAGCAAAGCGATACGATCATGAAACGCATCGTCCTGCTCTGCCACTTGATGCGACGGTGTAAGCATTTTCACGTACAGCTTTTCCATCAAGAAAGCTTCCAGCACTTCGTGCAGCAAGTCCACCCCAAAGGCATCACGGACCTGCAGGTACTTGTCGACCTGTTGCGCATCTTCGTCATCTGCGTCTCCTTGCATCAGCGCTGTCAGTACCTTGTCGTGCTTGATCTGCTCGACGAGTTTGTTGATAAAATCTTGGATCTTTCCACCCGGTCGGTCTCTTGTCGCCATCATCTGAGGCAGATCCCATTGCTCCGCTTTCTTGACAAACGATTGAATGCGGTACACCAAGTCCGCCGCCCGTGTGTTCTTCAGCAGCGCTAAGAGCTCCCGGAAGGCCAGCAAGAAACACATATCGCGACCGTGTCTTGTCAACGTGCTCGTCTGTGGACTGTGCGAGTGCTGCCATTGATCCAGCAGCGGCTTCTGCTCGCTCAGCTCTTGGAACAGCGTCACGTACTTCCGGGACAACCTTTGTATACTTCCACCAGGAACACCACCACCAGCAGCTCCTATTTCGTCTTCAGCTTCTTCTTCCTTCTCCAACTGCAAGTCCTTCGGCAGCAGTTGACGCTTCAGTTCGTCCAAAGTCGTGAAAAAGCTCGAGAACTCGTTGTGAAGATCGTCCAGAGCTGCAAGCCAAGCGCTGGATGGTGAAGCGGTCTCCACGGAGCTCCAAGCGCCACACAAAGGACTGAACTGCGATGTGGCGTCACGAATGGCATCGACGTTGTCGACCCACGACGTGCGAGTCGTGCGAGCTGCCAGCAACAAGTCGCTGCGCCGTTGCTCTGAGAGCACGTGGGAAGGAGCAGAAAGTACCGCTGTATCCGCCGCATTCGGGGCTTGTTGGGACGACCTTTGCGACGCGTCGATGCGGCCTGTAGCAGCCGCAGATGCACTGGATTTACTGCTACTTCTGCTGCTGCTGCTGCTGCTGCGGAGTCTCCAAAACATTCGGGACTGTAGCGATGGATGAGGCAGTGTGCGTACCTAAGAGCCGATTCTTTGTGCGTACTTAAGATGGACAATTTTTGTGCGTATTCAGCAATCTGTGGATCGAGTTGGCTGCAGCAAGCTCTGGTACGGCTGAAGTACGCTATACGATAGGTTTTATTCTCTTTTGAGTGACCACTTGCTTCAACAGTGGCGGAAAAAACAACCCATGGCGATTGTGGGCAAACTACTGATTGGGCTAGGTGCGCTTCTGCTCGTGCATGCTGGCTACTACTCGGTGCAATGTACGCTCCTCGTTTCCCTCTTGATATCCGTATCGAGTCTGATGGTTCGGATTGGTCCATGATCGCGTCATTGTAGACGAGAACTATGCGAAGCTGACCGAGACTTTGGACGCCCGATTGCCGCCTGTGGAGGTACGATTTCAACCAATCAACGAGTGGATGTCCAATGTCTGAACGTTTCTTATTGGCTAAAATGCTTCTGTTTGTTGTCGGGCTTGCAGGTCCTGATCGAACTTGCTGTGGGCTTCGGCACTTCGTTGGTGGGCGTCCTGCTCACGTCAGGAGAGATGGTACCGATACGGTCCAATGACGCTCTGCACTACAGGTGTGTTAATGCATGGGGAACTTGCAAAAAGAGCAAGAGAGAGGACATCGTGGTCGCTGAATGTGCGACATTTGTGTTGTGATGATGCGGATACTGCAGATCGCTGGCCACCGTCGTCTCGTGTCCGGACTTTCACGTGTTTAATCACCGCGGAAGATCGCTACAGCAGCGCTTCAGTTCGTAGAGACGCTGCTAACGCGAGAAAGGACCTTATTGGACGGAGCGATGATGAGGGTGCAGAGTGGATGTGCATTTTCTGGATCACGCGTGTAAGCGGATGGGATCTGCTTGTGTAGTTGTTCTGCGTGACTGCGACGTTTGCTGTGGTGGTGATTTGTTCGATGGCATCCAATACCATGAACGTGAATGCAATCGTTGTGTGACAAAACTACGACAGGAAGGACTTGGCGGCATCAGCCTCTACGTGAGTATGTATATCAAGAGGATCGTCCCGGCTTTAGGTGCAGCATTTGTGCTTTGTCGCTGCCCGTCCTCCCAGTGTCATCGTCATCGTCGGCGACGTCTGTTTCTGGTAGACAAATTTGATTGAGAACTCGAATCGGAACTCCCTGCTCGGCTGCTTGTTTCATCGTGGATGACCCCGACGCAAAGTCGTGCATGCCCTGGAGCGATAGTTGTTTCACCCTGAGCGCATGTCTGGCATCAGGTCAACGAAGCGTGAACAGCCTCCGAGAGCGAAAAGCTTGGCTAGCAAGTGCTGCTCGCACATCTGGACAAAGACGTTGACTCCAACTTGTACCAGACAATTCCTTCCGTGATCCCCCTTTTCTTCGTCCCCGGCCCCATCCATCCTACACTCGGTCTGTTGCAAGGCAAGTCGCCAAACGTGACGGGTCGACTGCCCTAGTTGAACCCATTTGCAACGCGAGGGCTGCATCTGTCAACCCGCATACCACTGCAGCGGTTGTCCCACGCGATTTCGTTCGTCCACTGCATCGACCGAACCGCTTCGTCTCAAACCCTTTCGACATTCGAAGCGAACAGTCCCTTGTGACGGATCGTCCTCGTGTCTCCGGCCACTTCAGCTCAAAGTCCGTCCCCGATGCAACGTCTCACCCCCGAGCAGCTCAAAGCGTTTCATCGCGACGGGTTCCTCGTCATACCTGACGCTCTCTCTGCTTCAACGTGCGACGAATTGCGGGCCAGAGCTCGTGAACTCGTCGCTCAGTGCGATCCACACCGCCACCGCTGCATCTTCACGACCAACGAACAGACGCGGCGCCTGAATGACGAGTACTTCCTCGACTCGGGCGACCAGATCCGCTGTTTCTTTGAGGAGCACGCGTTCCAAGAAGACCAGACGACGCTGGCGGTGCCGCTGCACGTGGCGATCAACAAGATTGGCCACAACCTCCACAACCTCGACCCAGTCTTTGAGAGCGTGAGCTACGCTCCCGAAGTCCAGACCATCCTCAAGTCACTCCAGTATGTACGTCCTGCTGTCGTGCAGTCCATGTATATCTTCAAACAGCCAAGTATTGGGGGAGAAGTGAAGCCCCATCAGGACGGCAGCTTCCTGTACACCACCCCACAGTCGGTAGTGGGGTTCTGGTGGGCTTTAGAAGACTGCACGCCAGAGAACGGCTGTCTCTACGGCGTTCCTGGCTCTCACTTGGCGGTGCCCGTGCGGCAGAAACTCCGACGTACCACGAAGGAGCAGCAAGAAGCGAACGGAGGACGACTGCTGGAAAATGTACCGGAGACGGTGGAGCCCTTTGATCTGAGCAAGAGCCAGCCATTGCGGACGAACAAGGGAGATCTGGTGCTGCTGCACAGCGCGTTCGTGCACTACAGTAACGCCAACCGATCGCTTCAGTCCCGCCACGCGTATTCGATTCACGTGGTGGAGAGTCACAAGGTGGACTACGGAAGGGACAACTGGTTGCAACCCACAGACAACGTGCCGTTCAAGCCCATGTACGAGAGCTAAGAATGCACTCAGCAATGGGACGGAACTCAGGCGCGCCGTTGCGTCAAGTCGGAAGATGATGCTATTCACTTGTTTTCAATGCAGCAACGAGTCTATGGTGCCTACCGAGCTGATGCTATAGGACCACTTGGTGTGATAGCTAGGGGCGACTTCGTCCTGAAGTCAATGATAATAGTGTCTCGAACCATGCAATTGAGCTTGCGGCTGCAAGTACTGCACGCAGATTCAGTAACGATGTGACCTTTGATGTCAGGACCGTCAACCTGGTTTCGTGATCTACCGGCATCACGTCGAGTGGTGAAGTTGGGGTTTGACGATCGAGACACTTCGGCACCGCTGGCTTTGTATCTCGAGCGTACAAAGCACAGCAACGACTAGAGTTGCATCTAAAAGCTGCAAGGTCCGAGGAAGCGTCACACCGCTCATCTCAGACTAGAGTTCGCCTCTGGGTGTGCTGAAACTAGTACCGCTAAGACCCGATCCAGCCAACTGAGATCGATGCTGTCGAGCCGTTTCACTGGATGATGTCGATTGCATTGGCGGTGTAGTTGCCACAGATAGCTGACCTACTAGTAAAGTAAAGACCTCGATAACCACAACGCTGCACGGCGTTGTGAGGTGAGCGCGTCTTGACTCCAAAAGAATAAACTGAGTACGACGTGAGCGACGACAGATCGAGAGCGTAAAGGTGTGCAGCCTGCAGCTACATCAAGACGGAGCGGAGACCACATCAGAAGTCTGAAGACCAAAGAAAGCCAGCTGGTTGGGGCTCAAGACTATAAAACTACAGACTGAATGACGTCGAGCTCTTGCTGACAATAGAGCTTCCGTATCGGAGAGAAGTGCCACAACCGGGGGCGAGGTGAGCAACTACACCTTCCGACCAAGAAGATGAGGACTGATACCGTTGTTTGGATTCAACTGGTTGCGCTCGACCATGTCCAAACCACCGACTCCCACCGTCGCATCCCTGCACCTAGACAACTGCCCGGACAGCATTGCCCAGCCCAACCAGCGTCGCCATCATCCCCACGCCGTGGCACACTGAGCGCATGGGCTGCAGTGCCTTCGCATAGGCGTACGTGTGCAGACAGCGCGCCGTCGTGAACGCAAGCATCGCGCCATAGTGAACGTCATAGTCCGCTCCGGCCATGACCCCCGCCCCGAACACCAAGAGACCGAACGGAATCGACTCGAGATCGTTCATCACGATGTTCCCCCAGCGCTGAGCAGTTTCAAGCTTCTGGACGTCGCTCGTCGTGTCCAGGCCGAGCGTTTGCTTGCGGCTGGAAGCCGAGAACTTCGAGTCTTCGGGTGGACGTCCGCCCGTGGCGAACTTCTTGGCTCCCTGCATCATCGTGGCCGCCACGAATTTCACATACAGCACGGAGGTGCACGCGACGTAGACCTTGACGCTGCCCAGCACCATTCGAGTCGCTTGTTTCTAAGCTTGCAGAGACGCTGTGGACGTGGTGAGATGGACAATGTCGATGCGGAGGTAGGTCCTGATGTGGGGGAGCAGACGGGGGTCCGATATCTTCCAAGTTGAAGCCGTTGGAGCCGTTGCGGAGAAATCGATCCTTGATTCAGCTGGATAGAAAAAGAGCTTTCTTCAGAAAGGAACGAGACTCTTTTCTTGTTGCTGCCCTTTGCAAGCAAATCATGCGTGTTGAGACATAATTCCAGCCAATCAAAACGCAGCGTCGAGAGAGTAGATCTCGCACACAGCAGAAGTTCCTCCTGCACCGATGACGCTGTCGCCTTCACTAGATGCGGCTTATGTACGCAACGGCAGTGGACACGGGGATGAGGAGGTACTAACGAACATCAAGGACGACGCGTACGGGACTTTCCATGACGTTGTCGCACGCTACAGCAGCGAAAACTCGCGCGCTCTTTGCAAATCAAGTGTCGGGGTCGTTCTCGTGGTGCTGGCGACTTTTGCGCTGCTCGGGAACTTCTACGAGCCGCTTGAGGGACAAGTGGAGGAAGTGGAGAGTCGCAAAAGCTTATTGGAGGCGCAAAAGCTGGTCGGGAAGACAACGAACGACGCGGTTATAAGCGGGAGCGACGACCTACCGACACGTCGTCGTCCGTTCCAATACGGCAACGACAGCTACCGCAAGGAAGACGGTCTGTCTACGCGCGAACGCACTTTTCTGGATACTGTGGACACGATGCAGATCCGGACGTTCCACGGAGCGTACGCCAGTGTGCCCCATCCGGCGGGAAGTGAGCAAGACTATCAGACGGCGCTGTTTACTGCCCAGCAGTTTGCATCGTTTGGAATCAAATCGGAGATTGTCACGTATTATCCACTGCTGTCACTGCCGATACATCGTCACGTGCGCATCGTGTCGCCCTTGACTGCAGCGAGGACATTGAACTTAACTGAAGCGTCTGTGCCGGGGGATTCGTGCACGACCAATGCAGATGCATTGCCACCTTACCTTGGATACTCGGATTCCGGTAATGTCACGGCATCTGTAGTGTACGTAAATTATGCGAGACCTGTGGACTTTCAGTGGCTAGAAGCGAGAAACGTGACGTTGAAAGGCAAGATCGCTCTTGTGCGTTATGGAGGCAACTTTCGTGGACTAAAGGTCATGCTGGCCGAGCAACATGGTATGGCTGGTGTTCTGATCTACTCAGATCCATTGGATGACGGCTATGCTCAGGGACCGGTGTACCCGGAAGGTCCATGGCGACCAGAGGGATCGTTTCAGCGCGGATCTGTGCAATACAACTCCATTTACAGCGGCGACCCGCTCACTCCAGGTTTCCCATCGCTGCCAGGCGAGCCATACTTGAGTAAAGAAGAAAGCAAGACGATTCCGCATATCCCGGGACTTCCTCTTTCTTACGGCCAAGCTCGCTACATCCTCGACTCACTAGGCGGGATGCAGGCTCCCGAATCGTGGCAAGGCGCTTTACAGCTCGACAATGGCGGCTACTTTGTGGGTGACGACGAAGGCACAGTTTTAAATCTGGATGTAGTCATGAACAACAGTATTGGACCTATCTGGGACGTTATCGGTACCATCGAAGGCACAGAAGAGCCCCATCAAATGGTTCTTATTGGAAACCACCGCGACGCTTGGGTATGTGGAGCTGTGGACCCATCCAGCGCGTCGGCGGTCATGCTAGAGATTGCTCGTGGTCTAGGTAACTTGCTCAAGGGAGGCTGGAAGCCACGCCGCACTCTTGTTATCGCTTCATGGGATGGCGAGGAGTTGGGTTTACTTGGCAGCACAGAGTTTGCTGAAGACCATGCGGATGTCTTGAGGAAGCAAGCAGTAGCGTATGTCAACGTGGACAACGTTGTCGGTCCGTTCGTCAGCTCGGGAGGTACGCCGTCTATTGCCGAATTTGTGCAGGACACGGCCCGGCTCATTCCAGGCAGCTCGTTTTACGGCGCCGATGTCACGGAAAGCTTGTATGATCAGTGGATGAACCAGACAATTATGCGACGATCCAGTCGTGCTGGTGGCACTGATGACGGTACATTGGCTCCTGACCACCTGATCCGGTTCCTAGGTTCAGGCACAGATTTTACAGCCTTCTACCAGCATCTTGGAATCATCTCGGCCAATTTGGGCTACAGTTTTGGCAGCGCGATGTACGGCGCGTATCACAGCACTATGGACAGTATTTCGTACGTGGAAACAGTGGGGGATCCACACTACGCAACACACACCACGATGGCAAAATGGTGGGGGCTCATCACCCTGCGCCTGATGGACAACGCGATCATACCATTTGACTATTCTACTTACGGGCTCGTGATGCAGGAAGATCTGGCTCAATACGAGAATACGACAGTAGCCATGGGGCGTAACGTAGACTACTCAGTACTGTACAGAGCGATTGAAAGATTCAGCAGCGACGCCGGAGTGTTTCAAGCGCACGTCACGAAATTTGCGCGGATGATTTCTAGTATGAATGTGAGCAACGCGATGGAGGCAGAACGTCGCGTCCTGAACGAGAAACTCACAAGTCTTGAGCGCTACCTGATTTCAGACACCGGATTACCTCACCGACCGTGGTTTAAGCACCTGATCTTCGGGCCCGGCTTCTATGAAGGCTACAAGGGAGCTGCATTTCCAGGCATTTCGGACAGTATCGTCTTCGACGACGACAGCGCCGCCATTCAATCCCATGTTAACGATGTCGCAATGGTCATCAACGCAGCGGCGGAGTATCTGATGTCCACATAGACGAACGCTCGACTTTCTCATGCCAAATGCCAGTGAAGCAATGGATGAAGATGCACCGCACCGCTGGACGTGCACGTGGACCATCTGAGCAAAAGGACGAGCTCTATTTTCTCATCTGTTCCGACGATTCATCTCACGCACTTCAATGTGGTCATGTAGTTGTTCCTGCCAGGATATGCTTGACAGACCTTTAAACGACTACAGCTGAGTTATATTCCAGGGTCATGCACAGGTGACCAAGCATTTCGACGTCCAGCGCCGCAGTTTTTTGCATATAGGCAACAGCTGCTACGAGGCGCCTTGATACTGGCAAAATCAATTTGGCTTTTAAGTGGTCGTCTTTTCACAACACACAATGATAAAATCATGATTTGTGGTCATAATTTGGGAGCCGCTAATCTCCTCTCAATTTTCTGGTAAAATCCCATCAGTTTGATATAACGCTACATGATTGGCTAATTTATCGACATGCCTTGAAGGTATTATATCACTTACAGCAGTTTCACACATCTATATGACCTAATTCAGTATAGTTCGCAATCGTTCTCACGTATTCTAACGTACAATATTCTGTCAAGATTTACCTGAATCGTTTGCGGCCTCAAGGCTTTTAAGTCCGCAGATGCGATCAATCGCTCATTATATTATAGAGGTCGATGCCTCTATCACAACGAGAAATCCTCATCACGCTTACATGTAAAGATTTCTGCTGTAGTGAGTTGTAAGACTGCTACTTTCTTTATTATTCATTTTGGAGCGTATTCGGATCGTTCATGTCACGTGTAAACGACGCGTGTCAAAATGATTTGTCCTGTTCTCTACTGAAATACTTCCTATTTACCTCTGCTGTTCCGGGTATAAGAGCATGCAGGAGGACATAAAGATGGTCGTGCACAGGGAGATATTGACAAGCGCGCATGCGTAGTTAAAACGGATGCCCCTATTACTACGAAGACGTTTAGGCACCGCGGCAAGTGAGATAATGCCTTACGACAATCCAGTTGCTGTGCTGCCAGTGAAGCCAAGGATCTACATGATCATGTAAGTAAGGTTCTATTTTTCAGTAATGCGCACGTAATAGTGCCTGCAAAGTTAAAAGACTTGTACTGAGGAATGCAGTCAAATTTACTAAGATTTATAAATTATTCCATTAATTTCTGCAGTTGTTAGTTCGATTAAGCTTCTACATCGTTGTGCATCGTGACCCACCCTCATGCAACGGTCGCATTATCTTCACAAATTTTAACGAATTTATTGCATCAGTGATGCTGATCGTTGCTTGCTTAGGTATGACGTCGTTACACTCAATTACTTACTTACTCACATCTTTTAATTTAAGGACATAGCAAACTGTGGCTAGAACGACGACAATGACGTGTACCACACGACATTTGCGCAAAAAAGGCTCAATTGTATACGATTACTACATAAGATGACCTTAAAACACAACTGATAAAGATATCACTCACTCTATTCGTGATTAATTATTGGCCAATCATGTAGCATCGTATCAGACTGAAGGGATTTTGCACCAAAAACTGAGATTAGCGGTTCCCTTGATTTTTTTTAATCCAATCTTCCCAAACGTATAGAATGTGTCTTAGTATTTTATTATTTCAGTCGTCTGGTCAAGGAATTGAATTATTCTAACTTTCTGGACACTAACTTTCGTTTGAATTATTTTTCATTATCTCATTTTTATGAAATATTTTTTTGTTTAGCCCAAACTAAGAGGAAAATAATGTCCTCGCTTTATAAGTCGTTAAAAAATGCCATTTGCAACGTAAGAGGCATATAAGGTCCTCGCTTTATAAGTAGTTGATAAATGCCATTTGCAACGCGCATTAAAAATACTTCTTACAAACGGATAACCAATAAAGTGTTCAGATCGGGAATGAACTACTTATGAAAAAAATGTAATCATTAGGATGCTAACTCTTCTTTGTTCTGAACGTAACCCATCACGCTGTCTGCTCCTTCCAGCTGCTTTTTGATTAGCTGGAATTATGTTTCAACACGCATGATTTGCTTGCAAAGGGCAGCAACAAGAAAAGAGTCTCGTTCCTTTCTGAAGAAAGCTCTTTTTCTATCCAGCTGAATCAAGGATCGATTTCTCCGCAACGGCTCCAACGGCTTCAACTTGGAAGATATCGGACCCCCGTCTGCTCCCCCACATCAGGACCTACCTCCGCATCGACATTGTCCATCTCACCACGTCCACAGCGTCTCTGCAAGCTTAGAAACAAGCGACTCGAATGGTGCTGGGCAGCGTCAAGGTCTACGTCGCGTGCACCTCCGTGCTGTATGTGAAATTCGTGGCGGCCACGATGATGCAGGGAGCCAAGAAGTTCGCCACGGGCGGACGTCCACCCGAAGACTCGAAGTTCTCGGCTTCCAGCCGCAAGCAAACGCTCGGCCTGGACACGACGAGCGACGTCCAGAAGCTTGAAACTGCTCAGCGCTGGGGGAACATCGTGATGAACGATCTCGAGTCGATTCCGTTCGGTCTCTTGGTGTTCGGGGCGGGGGTCATGGCCGGAGCGGACTATGACGTTCACTATGGCGCGATGCTTGCGTTCACGACGGCGCGCTGTCTGCACACGTACGCCTATGCGAAGGCACTGCAGCCCATGCGCTCAGTGTGCCACGGCGTGGGGATGATGGCGACGCTGGTTGGGCTGGGCAATGCTGTCCGGGCAGTTGTCTAGGTGCAGGGATGCGACGGTGGGAGTCGGTGGTTTGGACATGGTCGAGCGCAACCAGTTGAATCCAAACAACGGTATCAGTCCTCATCTTCTTGGTCGGAAGGTGTAGTTGCTCACCTCGCCCCCGGTTGTGGCACTTCTCTCCGATACGGAAGCTCTATTGTCAGCAAGAGCTCGACGTCATTCAGTCTGTAGTTTTATAGTCTTGAGCCCCAACCAGCTGGCTTTCTTTGGTCTTCAGACTTCTGATGTGGTCTCCGCTCCGTCTTGATGTAGCTGCAGGCTGCACACCTTTACGCTCTCGATCTGTCGTCGCTCACGTCGTACTCAGTTTATTCTTTTGGAGTCAAGACGCGCTCACCTCACAACGCCGTGCAGCGTTGTGGTTATCGAGGTCTTTACTTTACTAGTAGGTCAGCTATCTGTGGCAACTACACCGCCAATGCAATCGACATCATCCAGTGAAACGGCTCGACAGCATCGATCTCAGTTGGCTGGATCGGGTCTTAGCGGTACTAGTTTCAGCACACCCAGAGGCGAACTCTAGTCTGAGATGAGCGGTGTGACGCTTCCTCGGACCTTGCAGCTTTTAGATGCAACTCTAGTCGTTGCTGTGCTTTGTACGCTCGAGATACAAAGCCAGCGGTGCCGAAGTGTCTCGATCGTCAAACCCCAACTTCACCACTCGACGTGATGCCGGTAGATCACGAAACCAGGTTGACGGTCCTGACATCAAAGGTCACATCGTTACTGAATCTGCGTGCAGTACTTGCAGCCGCAAGCTCAATTGCATGGTTCGAGACACTATTATCATTGACTTCAGGACGAAGTCGCCCCTAGCTATCACACCAAGTGGTCCTATAGCATCAGCTCGGTAGGCACCATAGACTCGTTGCTGCATTGAAAACAAGTGAATAGCATCATCTTCCGACTTGACGCAACGGCGCGCCTGAGTTCCGTCCCATTGCTGAGTGCATTCTTAGCTCTCGTACATGGGCTTGAACGGCACGTTGTCTGTGGGTTGCAACCAGTTGTCCCTTCCGTAGTCCACCTTGTGACTCTCCACCACGTGAATCGAATACGCGTGGCGGGACTGAAGCGATCGGTTGGCGTTACTGTAGTGCACGAACGCGCTGTGCAGCAGCACCAGATCTCCCTTGTTCGTCCGCAATGGCTGGCTCTTGCTCAGATCAAAGGGCTCCACCGTCTCCGGTACATTTTCCAGCAGTCGTCCTCCGTTCGCTTCTTGCTGCTCCTTCGTGGTACGTCGGAGTTTCTGCCGCACGGGCACCGCCAAGTGAGAGCCAGGAACGCCGTAGAGACAGCCGTTCTCTGGCGTGCAGTCTTCTAAAGCCCACCAGAACCCCACTACCGACTGTGGGGTGGTGTACAGGAAGCTGCCGTCCTGATGGGGCTTCACTTCTCCCCCAATACTTGGCTGTTTGAAGATATACATGGACTGCACGACAGCAGGACGTACATACTGGAGTGACTTGAGGATGGTCTGGACTTCGGGAGCGTAGCTCACGCTCTCAAAGACTGGGTCGAGGTTGTGGAGGTTGTGGCCAATCTTGTTGATCGCCACGTGCAGCGGCACCGCCAGCGTCGTCTGGTCTTCTTGGAACGCGTGCTCCTCAAAGAAACAGCGGATCTGGTCGCCCGAGTCGAGGAAGTACTCGTCATTCAGGCGCCGCGTCTGTTCGTTGGTCGTGAAGATGCAGCGGTGGCGGTGTGGATCGCACTGAGCGACGAGTTCACGAGCTCTGGCCCGCAATTCGTCGCACGTTGAAGCAGAGAGAGCGTCAGGTATGACGAGGAACCCGTCGCGATGAAACGCTTTGAGCTGCTCGGGGGTGAGACGTTGCATCGGGGACGGACTTTGAGCTGAAGTGGCCGGAGACACGAGGACGATCCGTCACAAGGGACTGTTCGCTTCGAATGTCGAAAGGGTTTGAGACGAAGCGGTTCGGTCGATGCAGTGGACGAACGAAATCGCGTGGGACAACCGCTGCAGTGGTATGCGGGTTGACAGATGCAGCCCTCGCGTTGCAAATGGGTTCAACTAGGGCAGTCGACCCGTCACGTTTGGCGACTTGCCTTGCAACAGACCGAGTGTAGGATGGATGGGGCCGGGGACGAAGAAAAGGGGGATCACGGAAGGAATTGTCTGGTACAAGTTGGAGTCAACGTCTTTGTCCAGATGTGCGAGCAGCACTTGCTAGCCAAGCTTTTCGCTCTCGGAGGCTGTTCACGCTTCGTTGACCTGATGCCAGACATGCGCTCAGGGTGAAACAACTATCGCTCCAGGGCATGCACGACTTTGCGTCGGGGTCATCCACGATGAAACAAGCAGCCGAGCAGGGAGTTCCGATTCGAGTTCTCAATCAAATTTGTCTACCAGAAACAGACGTCGCCGACGATGACGATGACACTGGGAGGACGGGCAGCGACAAAGCACAAATGCTGCACCTAAAGCCGGGACGATCCTCTTGATATACATACTCACGTAGAGGCTGATGCCGCCAAGTCCTTCCTGTCGTAGTTTTGTCACACAACGATTGCATTCACGTTCATGGTATTGGATGCCATCGAACAAATCACCACCACAGCAAACGTCGCAGTCACGCAGAACAACTACACAAGCAGATCCCATCCGCTTACACGCGTGATCCAGAAAATGCACATCCACTCTGCACCCTCATCATCGCTCCGTCCAATAAGGTCCTTTCTCGCGTTAGCAGCGTCTCTACGAACTGAAGCGCTGCTGTAGCGATCTTCCGCGGTGATTAAACACGTGAAAGTCCGGACACGAGACGACGGTGGCCAGCGATCTGCAGTATCCGCATCATCACAACACAAATGTCGCACATTCAGCGACCACGATGTCCTCTCTCTTGCTCTTTTTGCAAGTTCCCCATGCATTAACACACCTGTAGTGCAGAGCGTCATTGGACCGTATCGGTACCATCTCTCCTGACGTGAGCAGGACGCCCACCAACGAAGTGCCGAAGCCCACAGCAAGTTCGATCAGGACCTGCAAGCCCGACAACAAACAGAAGCATTTTAGCCAATAAGAAACGTTCAGACATTGGACATCCACTCGTTGATTGGTTGAAATCGTACCTCCACAGGCGGCAATCGGGCGTCCAAAGTCTCGGTCAGCTTCGCATAGTTCTCGTCTACAATGACGCGATCATGGACCAATCCGAACCATCAGACTCGATACGGATATCAAGAGGGAAACGAGGAGCGTACATTGCACCGAGTAGTAGCCAGCATGCACGAGCAGAAGCGCACCTAGCCCAATCAGTAGTTTGCCCACAATCGCCATGGGTTGTTTTTTCCGCCACTGTTGAAGCAAGTGGTCACTCAAAAGAGAATAAAACCTATCGTATAGCGTACTTCAGCCGTACCAGAGCTTGCTGCAGCCAACTATCCACAGATTGCTGAATACGCACAAAAATTGTCCGTCTTAAGTACGCACAAAGAATCGGCTCTTAGGTACGCACACTGCCTCATCCATCGCTACAGTCCCGAATGTTTTGGGGACTCCGCAGCAGCAGCAGCAGTAGCAGCAGTAGCAGCAAATCCAGTGCATCTGCGGCTGCTACAGGCCGCATCGACGCGTCGCAAAGGTCGTCCCAACAAGCCCCGAATGCGGCGGACACAGCGGTACTTGCTGCTCCTTCCTACGTGCTCTCAGAGCAACGGCGCAGCGACTTGTTGCTGGCAGCTCGCACGACTCGCGCGTCGTGGGTCGACAACGTCGATGCCATTCGTGACGCCACGTCGCAGTTCAGTCCTTTGTGTGGCGCTTGGAGCTCCGTGGAGACCGCTTCACCATCCAGCGCTTGGCTTGCAGCTCTGGACGACCTTCACAACGAGTTCTCGAGCTTTTTCACGACTTTGGACGAACTGAAGCGTCAACTGCTGCCGAAGGACTTGCAGTTGGTGAAGGAAGAAGAAGCTGAAGACGAAATAGGAGCTGCTGGTGGTGGTGTTCCTGGTGGAAGTATACAAAGGTCGTCCCGGAAGTACGTGACGCTGTTCCAAGAGCTGAGCGAGCAGAAGCCGCTGCTGGATCAATGGCAGCACTCGCACAGTCCACAGACGAGCACGTTGACAAGACACGGTCGCGATATGTGTTTCTTGCTGGCCTTCCGAGAGCTCTTAGCGCTGCTGAAGAACACACGGGCGGCGGACTTGGTGTACCGCATTCAATCGTTTGTCAAGAAAGCGGAGCAATGGGATCTGCCTCAGATGATGGCGACAAGAGACCGACCGGGTGGAAAGATCCAAGATTTTATCAACAAACTCGTCGAGCAGATCAAGCACGACAAGGTACTGACAGCGCTGATGCAAGGAGACGCAGATGACGAAGATGCGCAACAGGTCGACAAGTACCTGCAGGTCCGTGATGCCTTTGGGGTGGACTTGCTGCACGAAGTGCTGGAAGCTTACTTGATGGAAAAGCTGTACGTGAAAATGCTTACACCGTCGCATCAAGTGGCAGAGCAGGACGATGCGTTTCATAATCGTATCGCTTTGCTGGCGTTTGTTACGTTCAAACATCTGGATTTACCCGAGCCAGAGACGGACGAGCAAGCTCAGACGTGGCTACGTCTGGCAACACAGCTGGAAGCCGCGACGCTGTACCCAAGTCCACGGCGTAAGATGGATGGTGTTTTGCGTGTGTGTCAAGACCTGACATCATTCCTGAAGATGCAGAACGGCGACAGATTCCCGTCGGCAGACGATTTTTTGCCCGCGCTGATCTATGTAGTTTTACATGCAAATCCGTGCGAGCTCAAGCGCAACGTGGCATACATCCTGGAGTACCGCAATCCTTCCAAGTTGATTTCGGAGCCAGGCTATTTCTTCACACATCTGGTATCAAGTATTGCCTTCCTGGAGGAAGTTGACTGCTCTCGACTGACCATTTCGGCCGAAGAGTTTAGTGAAGGACTGCGTCGAAGCACGAAGGGTGTCACGTTAAGTGAGGAGCATCGTGAACTGGACCTTGGTGAAGCAGATGGTGCTTGCGACAATCGCCGTTTCGAAGGCGGCAACGCTGCGACAGCTGAGCGCCGAAATCAACTGCCTACAACTTCCGTATCCCGTGGTCGTAATGTCGACAACCACAGAGCATCGCTGGGACTTCCTACCGTGCTTGATATTCGTGCCAAACGCCTAAGCTTGATGGCTGACCACCCGATGCGAGGAAGCAATCAAGCTATGCACCAACAGACAATTCGCTGACTCTGCTGCGATAGTCTTTGTGTATGAGGTGCAACAATTGTCGTGCTGTAAAGGCTGAGCTATGGTAGCGCAATGTTGCGCTTTGAAGGTGACTGGAGGACATTCAGTCGAGGTCGACGCATGTTCGTGCTGCGGGTAGACCAGGCTGCAACGAAGAAAGTTGAGGCATTCCGACACTGGTACACGCTTGTTTACCATCATGAAGGCGCCGTCAGCAGCTGAACGACGAGCACGGGCCTCTCAGCTTGTGCAACAAGTCTCAGGCTTCACCGAAACTCAACTTTAGACTCGTCGCGTGCCCGCAATTGTGAGGCGTCTGGATGTTCATTGTCCTCCATCACCAAATTGGAAGAATACCAGTGCGACATGCTCAAATCCGACGCCGCATATCAACTGCTGTGATGATAGCTCGCCGTTATAATTATGTGCCAAAATAGCCAGCCGCAGTCGCGAGCAGCTGGTGCGAGTTACTTTTCACTCTTTGTGACAGCAAAATCGACGGGAGGAAGTCTGCAACATCTTGTCACTATCCTGAGAGACTGCCACGCTTACCGGTCGCGTTCGCGTCCCACGTAATAGGCCTACCTACTACACTAGTACGTAGTACCACATCCGATTTGAAATAAGGTCTTCTCCATCAGCAACTCACCGACCTATACTTCTACCGTCTAAGCGCCAATAAACTCAACGAATACCGTTTTTCGAAAAATTACTCGTCTACTCCACGCGCTTACTGCAGACGAAGCGACAACTCATCTCCAAGGAGCTTGACATCATCAGCCCAAGCGTGCACACGACCCTACGTAGAAAACGTTCATTGTGAAAGGGGAGGCATAACATTCATGTGCCAAATTCAAACATGTTAAAGGAGTGGAAGCCGAGCACGCGAGAAAAGGAAGCAGAGCACGATACATGATAACGTCTTTCAGTCGACAGTGTTGAGAGCAATGACCAAGAGGTATTACGTCAGATCACCAAACGTACAAGCAGCTAATTCCATCGTTGCCGACTCTTATTTAGTACAATTGATTCGATACTTTTAGGGAGCCGATGATATCGAGTGATGCTCCACTGCATCTAATGAATCTAAAACCAGCGTACTGTGTAATATAGAAGAGCAAGCTCTGGGGCTCGCCCTTTAATATCAGTAATTTAGCTCGAAGAACTGAGTCAAGATGCGAAGCACTACACAACAGCAAACGCTGGAGAATGAGCATGTGCGGTAAATGTCGTATTAACCATGCATAGCATCTTTGGGCAACGCGATCAGCCTTTGCTTTTGATCGTCCAGCATTTGCTAATGTGACCATATTCACCTTTGAACGGTTGAACCAATCACGTGCGTGCGTCACAATAGTGACCCTGTGAAAGAGTGACTTTGCATCTGCCTACATACCTATGAGAAGAGGACGGGCTCAATCGCACTTAGTACGTGTAAATTACACCTAACCGCGTTATTGACAGACACCGACTCACGACACACAGATACGTACGCTTTAGAAAGCTCGGCATACAACCTTGCGCACAGTCACTAATAGCTTCACCCTTCGGGCTCGCAATCATCTGGTAGGAAAATGAGTATCAATTTGATCTATTTAGCAGTATGTTGCGCGTCTTTTGACTATGGCTTGCCGCTATACTACCCATATACGCTCGATTTGGTGGTTGTTGCGCTGAGTGTGCTAACGATGTTCTCACACTCGTCATCAAACCACGTCTTCACCTCGGGCTCTCATCGGTAGATTGAATGACAGAGTGGGGCTTCTTGCAGATAGCTGGCGTCCTTTCTCCCGCTACCGATGAGTTTTGAGCGAGTCGGGAGCAAAGTAAATAAGGTGCAATCACATTCGCTGCCATCGGCTTATTGTCGATAACTACGCTTCGTTACAAAGTTAACAGTCATGTCTGAAACAATGAATGGTACGAGCGACACCTGCTAAAGCAAGAAAAAATGGTTGCTGCTTACGCATCCTAAAAGGCAGTTCAATCATGTATGCGTTGCCCATACGGCGCAACACACGAAATGGACCAATATGCTTGGGCAGTAATTTACTGCTACCAACGTTTTTCACTGCGTGTTTCAATAAGTTTACTGTATACAGTAAAACTAAATCTCCTTCATCAAATTAAAGAACATTTGCTCTTCCATGTTGGTCTGCATTTCTTTTCTGTCTGTCGATTGCATTTGCAATAGAGTCTTGAACGAAGCGGACAACCGCTTCGCGAGTCAGCAGAAATTCCTCTGCTGATTCATCCTTGTCAACAGCAGTGCGCTTCATGTGCACTGCTGAAAGAACGTTGTCTTCACCAGTGAGGGCGTCATCGTCCGCACTATGGCAGTCATTGGCGATGCTGAATATACCAGCATCGCTGTCATCATCGATGTCGATGCGATCGACATCGGCATCCATCACGTCAACACCATTGTCGACGTGTGATGAGCAAGAACTAGATCGGTGTTTGTTCATGCGAGCCCCCCCCTTAAACTAGAGTCACACTCCAAGAAGGCGGGTAAACGTGGACGGCGTAGGCCATTCACAAAGAACAGTGTATGCGTTGTCGACGCATCCACCAAGTTGTTGATTGCAAATCTGCCCTCGGCAAGAATTCACTCCAACTCGTAAACGAGTGGACATACCCTCGAAGTATCTCATCGATGACGCGGTTGAAGCGTTCCGTCTGAACGTCTGTTTATGGATGGTCAGAAGTTGATCTCTTCAAACGTGTTCCAAGTGAACGGAACACGGATTGTCAAAACTCCGCTGTAAAGCTGGGGTCTCTATTAGACACGAGTTCACGGGGTAACCCGTAAGTCAGAAGATAGCATAGATAATGATACGAGCACAGCCCTGGGCTGTGATTGACTCCGGTACGGCCACAAGATGTACCATCTTGCTGAACCGATCAACAAACACAAGAATACCAGTATTCTTGTGAACGTCTTTAAGAATCCCATCGACGAAGTCCATCGATACGGACTGACAACACTCTGCCGGAAATGGTAGAGGCTGCAAGGGTGCACGGGGTGAAAAACTAGGCTTCACCCGTTGGCAAACTTCGCAAGCGCGAATG